CTTAAACATGAAAAAAAAAATCGTTTTTATATGTCAATAAAGTTATAATAACAGGTACTATTTTAAAATAAATTTTTGAAATTTGAACAATCCAATATAGAATATCTATATTAAATATCTCTCAAGTTCGAGGAGGGGAGAGAAGAGAAAATAAAAAAAGAAAAAATAAAAATGAAAAAGAAAAGAAAACCTAACAGGACTCATAGAAGAAGACAGTCTTATTCCTTTTTAATATTGAATTCAAACTCATTTAAGTTTGATCTTTACAACCCCACACGTAAGCAGGATCAGACAGGAGGACCATCTTATACTTACACTACTTGCACAGTTGCAACTTAAATACCAGAGGACCATTGGCATCTCATGCACACACATCAATGTACTTAATTTCTTTTTTTTTTTTTTAATTTTATTCTCTTCTTCTTCATCAATCTTCCATTAATGACTTCCATTTAGCTTTTCACAGTTCTGTTTCTGTGTTGGGCTCATCAAAGGACAACTTCGCCGCCTTTCTCATAAATCTTCTGGTCAATTCAATCAATTTATTTATTTATTAGGTATTCAATACCTGAAAAACTTCTGGCTATTGTTGTTAGGTGGTGATTGATACTGTTGTTGAATAGATTTTTAATAGCAGTTTTTGTTAAAATATATAATTATTAAGAGTATAATTATTTTTATTTATTATATATATTTTATAATGTATTTTTTTTAACTCTTAAGATGAATATATTTACTATTTATTATAACTATCGAGAAATATGTGATACTAAAAGTTATTCCTCTTGTATAATATAATTAAAATTAATTATTAAACAAATAAAATTAAATTGTACCGTTTAAATAAAGTCAAGAACTCTAGTATAATTATTGTTTTTTTTTCTATAGATTGTAATTGGTTGATTTTTCTAAATTAAATTAGTCAATTTTAATTTTAATTTAATCAAAATCTAAAGTTCGATAATCTAAATAATATTAAGGTTAAGATAATTTTGGTATTTAATGCACAAGTTTTCTGAAAATAATATTCTACTTCTTACTTTATTACTTGTTATGATTTATTACTTGAAAATAATTTTTTAATATTATTTTTAAAAAATTGAACCTAATTTTTATTTTTTTTATGTAACTTTCATAATAATTATGTCTTTGTGGATCATGCAATTAACCGATTTTTTAAGTATGATGCCTTAAAAATTAGATTTAAGGTTTACAGCTGATTTATAAATTCACTTATATTCCAAATCAATTAAAGCCAATCAAATAACAATAAAACAATAAGAAATGGATTAATAGTCACACAACACAAATTAGAAAAATAAAATCAAATTAGTTAATTAAAGTTGTCGTTTTAAGAAAACTCCAAATCTCCAACATATTAAGTCTAATTGATGTGATTAGCATGCAACTAATCAGGATTTTATCTCATCATTGTAGTTTTGTGGAAACCAAGTTTTTGCAAATCAGCTTCACATTTTTCCTTTCAAAATTTTGTTTACGTCGGTGTTTTTGTGTTAGGGCATGAAAAGCAATCACTATTATATTTGTGTCTGTAATGAATGTAATAATAGCTTTTTTCCATTCAAATTGTCTAACTTTCCGTTTTTTTACAAAGAATAACAAAGTATTAGCTTCCACTTGTTTCCGTAAAATAACTTGTTGAAAAATATTTTCATGGAAAACGTTTTCTTTGAAAAATATTTTTCAAATAATTTATCTTCCGCTGTTTGATTGTCATATTGAAAATTAGTTAAAAATATTAAAGTCTTTATCTCATAAGATCATAAAAAATATTAATAATAATAGAAATTTAATAATTTTATCTTCCGCTGTTTGATTGTGATTGTCATATTGAAAATTAGTTAAAAATATTAAAGTCTTTATCTCATAAGATCATAAAAAATATTAATAATAATAGAAATTTAATAATTTAATTATTGTTAAATATGAAAAGAATATATAAAAAAATATAAATTATGAAAGCCGCTGGTGGCCAGTGGTGGTGGTCGGTGGTTAATCGTGACTGATGGTAGTAATTATGATGACTAATAAATTAAAAAATATGGATTTATAAGGTTTGCCAATGTGCAGAAAATGTTTTAATCTCTCGAAAATGGAAAATTGTTTTCCTTTTAAAATGACTTAATTTTCCTTTGACCAAGAAAATATTTTCAGTTGACTTATTTTCTTGAGCACCCCAAACGATGGAAAATTATGAAAAATATTTTTCTGCAAGTTATTTTACGGATTGGTATAGTCATATCCAATTCTATGGAATTGAAATCTACATTTTTTTCATTCCAAACACAAAACTATCTAGATTTCTAAATAAATTTCACAAAATTTTGTGGAATTCATTTATTCCAAATAAGGGATAAAAGAAAATAAGTGGAATGGTCAATATCAAGTAATTAAAAGAAAATAATAAAATTGCAACTAAAAATATTAAAAGAAAATAATTAAATTTCAAAAAGTTTAAAAGGCAAAATCTTCTCATGCAAGGAAAAATAAAATGCTAAAAATTTAGAAAGTTCGCTTTTCAAATGTTTCAAATGATGCGCCATATCATCAACCAATAAAAACTACATGATCCTCCTTTATATGATGACTAGTCGTACACCTGTACGTTTTAGAGATTAACACTTTTAAATAAATTGATATAAATTAAATTTGAATGAAAACATTTAAATAAATTAATATGATGAAAAGATAATATTTGTCAGTTATTTTTTTTTATTCTTTAACTATGATAACAAAAACTACTAATCCAATTTTTTTCTATATCTTTAAAAGTGATAAAAAATTCTATACTAACAAATTAAAAACAATAAACTCACTTTCTTAGCTAAACTTAAAACAATAAATATAAATATTACTTCTACAAATTAAAACAATTACTCAAACCATAAAATTATCTGAATAGAAAAAAAATAAATTTCATAAATCGTTGATCATAGGTGTCTTTTGCTCAAAGTATTAATTTTTATCACTATCTAATTTAACCAAACTAATTAAGTCATCCAGTAATTTGGTAATATTAATTAATGGTTTTCAAGATTTACCTCCGTTAAACTATTTGGTCATTTCGTCCGTTTTCTACCGATTTTTCCATTAAAATTTTTAAAAAAAGATTAAAATACTCTGACACTTAAGAAAGGTAAATAATTAATTCGTCTATGAGATTTGACCAAACTAGCTAAATCATCAATGTAATTTAACAATATTAATTAATAATCTCCGAAATTTACCTTTCTCAAATCATTTGATCATTTCGTCTATTTTCTCCAAATGTTTTCATTAAAACCTTAAAAAAAAAAAAGAACACTAAAATACTCTGACATTTAAAGGAAAAAAATCCATTTGTTGTGGAAGGAAAACGAAGTGTTTAATGATTATTTGATATTCACCCAAAAAAAAATTTTTTCTATCAACATAATGTGTCACTTTACTGTCTTGAGCCACTAACAAAAGAATGAAAAAGAAAAATAAACATCGAGTTAATTTCAATAAAAATAATAGGCATTTAATTTTAGGTATCAATATTCAAGAGAACAAATTATTTTATATACTACATTACAAACTACAACTAAAGAAATGAAAGTAGGACCATAGGAATATTAAAAATATTTTAGAAAAAAAAAATTCACTGTTTTTGCAGAAATTCAGTTGTAAATTTAATAAGACTTAACTGTCATTCCGTTATAAAGCAAATAACCTAGGTTAATTTAGTCTTTTTTTTTCTTAATTGTGATGATATTTTAGTCTTTTTTTTAAGGTTTTAACCGAAAAATCAGGAGAAAATAAATAGAATGAACAAATGTGTTTGACGGAGGTAAACCTTAGGGATCGTTAATTAATATTGCTAAATTGCAGGGATGACTTAATTAGTTTGATCATACTTCAGAGACAAATTAAATATTTTTCATTCTCATGTGTTCGAGTATTTTAGCTTTTTTTTTTTAAAGGTTTAAATGAAAAAATATGGAGAAAATGGCTGGGAAGAATCAAATGGTTTGACGAAAGTAAATTTCAGAGACCATTAATCAATATTATCAAACTGCAAAGATGACTTAATTAATTTGGTGAAATCTGAGACACGAATTAATTATTTTCCCTTGTAAACACATGAGATAATGTTGGTCCAAGAAGTCAAAATTTAAGAGCACAGTGAGTTATACTTCTCTTGGAATTACAATCCACAACTTCGAAGTGCTGCAACTACAAACAAGGGTCAAGGGCAGTCCAAGTTTCGATCTTGGGGTTGGAGAGGAAAAAAACAGAAAAAGAAAAAGAAAAAGAAAAAAATAACTCTCTCTCTCACTTCACCTATTCACATGGTAACTAGGAACTTGTCTTGTAGTGGTATTTGTAATTCCATTTGCACAGATCTTGTTGACAGGCATGTGAAGGGTACTGCCGTTTTCTTTTAGGTCCAATGGGGTGGTTTGCATGTGCTTCTTTTCATGCCTTTTTTAACTCTCTGGTTAGGTCTTTTCTCTCCAGTTTTTATACCAATAATACCCAAATCATTTCTTGGAAGCACCAATACCCCATCATAAAACAATTCTCAATTCTCCCTCTCCACAAAATTATTTATCATTTTTTTATTTTTCCCCTGTAATACAAACATTCATTCATGCCCTTCTTGATTCTTGAAGTGAGGAGTTCAAATCTCTGTTGAGTCAAAGTCGTTGGCTCAGTTAAAAAGTTTCTTAGCTTTAAAATATTTCTTTTTGTCATTTAATTTTCTCTGTAATGCTTTTATTACCCTGAAAGAACTAGAGTAGGGTCCTACCAAGTAGGGTGCATGGTCTGGCCTATCTGGCCATTCTCTCTCTCTCTCTCTCTCTCTCTCTCTCTCTCTCTCTATATATATATATATATATATCTCTCTCTCTCTCCTCCTTCTATTATAAATATATATATATATCTCTCTCTCTCTCTCTCTCTCTCTCTCTCTCTCTCTCTATATATATATATATATATATGTATCATATTAGTTAGTTCAAAGGCCTATATATATACACTTGTGAGTAGCTTTAACCAAAGCAAGCCCATACCATTTACAGCTCTTTGTGGAGTGGGATTCGCGCTTTTCCTGAAGCATCAATGGCTGTTTTCTTGGTGATTCTTGGGGTTATTCTGTTTTTGCTCTGTTTCTCCTCTGCTTTGTTGAAATGGAATGAAGTTAGATACAGGAAGAAAGGTTTGCCTCCTGGTACTATGGGTTGGCCAGTTTTTGGAGAGACTACTGAGTTTTTAAAGCAAGGTCCAAACTTCATGAAAAACCAAAGAGCAAGGTGATTCTTTATTTCACTTGATTCAAGTTATTGTATGTGCTACTCTGTTTTTGTTCTGTTTCTAATGTTTAGTGGATTTTTTTAGGTACTCTGTGTTTTTTTCTATTTAAACTTCAAAAGGTCTCCTGTTTCTAGCTTGTGCTTATATCACTTTCGAGTGACTTGTAGGTTTAAGCTCTTTTATTCTGTATTAGCTACTAATTTTTCTTTGTTTTTAGATAGCCTAGCTAAAACCCATTTGAGAAATAACAAATAAGTTATAGAATTAGTTTTAAAAGTGAAGTTTCTTTTTCTTTTATTGTTTATATCTTTTTCACTTCAATCAGAGATGGTGCTTTTTGCCCTTTTTGGTGGGTATTGGTCTATGATAACCCCCAAAAGCTAGCTATAATACCAAAAGCCAATCTTTCTCATCAAATTGCTGTTGTTAGTTACAACAGTTATAAAAGGGTTTTCTTGTAAATTTACCATATTGCATTCTCTTTTTCTTTTTTGGTTAATTACATAATATAATTCTTTTTATTAAACTTGGTTTTTCTTTAAAAAAAAAATAATTACAGGTATGGCAGTTTATTCAAATCCCATATTCTTGGGTGCCCTACAATTGTTTCCATGGATCCGGAGCTGAATAGATACATTTTGATGAATGAAGCTAAAGGGCTTGTTCCTGGTTACCCTCAATCCATGCTTGATATCTTAGGCAAATGCAATATTGCAGCAGTTCATGGCTCCACTCACAAGTACATGAGAGGAGCTGTCCTTGGCCTCATTAGCCCTAGCATGATTAGAGAACATCTTTTGCCTAAAATTGATCAATTTATGAGAACCCATCTCAGCAATTGGGATAACAAAATTATTGATATTCAACACAAAACCAAAGAGGTGCATATAATTATTGCATTAATACAAATTTTCTCTTCTCTTTTTAGTATAAATCTAAAATGTGGTTTTGTACATGCAGATGGCACTTCTTTCCTCACTTAAACAAATTGCAGGCTCTGATTCTAGTTCCATAAATCAAGCCTTTATGCCTGAATTCTTCAAGCTAGTTTTAGGCACTCTCTCATTGCCAATTGATCTTCCTGGAACTAATTATCGTCGCGGTTTTCAGGTAATTAATTAACTTTTTCCTGTTATGTTGAATGCTATATTTTGCAAGTTCTGTTTATTTAAATGTCGTTTATTTTGTTAATCTAGGCTAGGAAAAATATTGTGACCTTGTTGAGACAACTGATAGAAGAGAGAAGGTTATCCAAAGAAAGTCACAAGGACATGCTTGGTTGCCTTATGAAAAGTGAAGAAAATAGATATAAATTAACTGATGAAGAAATAATTGATCAAATAATCACCATTTTGTACTCTGGTTACGAAACGGTTTCGACTACTTCAATGATGGCTGTCAAGTATTTACATGATCATCCTGCAGTTCTTCAAGAACTTAGAGTAAGTACAAGGCAATAGGAAGTTCGTCTCTTTGATCCTTTTGCTTATAAATTTTGCATGTTTATTATGGTATTGACACTTAATGGTTGATACGTGCAGAACGAGCATTTAGCAATTAGAGAAAGGAAAAAACCTGAGGATCCAATAGACTTAAACGACCTTAAATCTATGCGTTTTACTCGGGCGGTAAGAAATATTATAATGTTTTTAGAATAATGAAATAGTTTATGAATCATTGATAAAGAAAAGTTGAACATGATTTGATTTGTTCTGGTTTTGATCATGCAGGTGATTTTTGAAACCTCAAGATTGGCTACAATTGTTAATGGGGTTTTGAGGAAGACAACTGAGGAAATGGAACTAAATGGTGAGTGGTATTAAAATAAAAAAAAAAGGTTCTCTTTTGTTGTCTTTATGGGCTCAAGAAGGTTTTTTTTTTTTTTCTTGCTTCTATTTTTTAAAACTTTGTCAATAATACGAATGATGTAGTAACACGTCACAGAAATATGATCATGTATCTTCCTTCCTTTGTGGACCTTACAGTAATATGATTTACATAGCATACCTACCAATCCAGCTAGGCCACTCTTTTGTTGCCCCAAGTGTTTTTCAAATTATTTTTGACAAGAAAGACGGTTTCTTTTTCTTTTTTTGGTGTTTAATTAGGCTCGGACCAGGATTCATACTCATAACCTTATAATATTCGAGACGAGTACTAAGTAACGAAGAAGAAAAGCTTTTACATATTATTATTACTGTCGTGCATTTGTGTTTTTTTTAGTTGGGGAAATGCTAGATTGAGGTGCTTAATTAGTGCTTAATTGTGGATTAGTGATAATATTTTTTTTTTATTTGTTAATTTCAGGATTTGTGATTCCAAAAGGATGGAGAATCTATGTTTATACTAGGGAAATAAATTATGATCCCTATTTATATTCAGATCCATTATCCTTCAATCCATGGAGATGGATGGTAAGTGAACAATAACTTCATTGTTTCATCAACGTTAAATTCCCATATTGATGAGAAAAAAAAAAAAAACCCATAATTTCCTTCAAAATGACTAAATTAGCATTTTTTTTTCTCTTTCGAATGCAGGATAAGAGCTTGGAGTCTCAAAACTATCTTTTCATTTTTGGAGGAGGGACTAGGCAGTGTCCAGGGAAGGAGCTAGGAATAGCAGAGATTTCTACTTTCCTTCACTATTTTGTAACTAGATACAGGTAATTAAATAAAAATCCATTAAATTTAATCACCAATTTGATTATGGATTATGGGTTAATGTGGATTAATGATGTTGTAATTGCAGATGGGAAGAAGTTGGGGGAGACAACCTAATGAAATTTCCAAGAGTTGAAGCACCAAATGGGTTACACATTAGGGTTTCATCTTACTAAACTAACCTATGAATGTACATAAAATATAGCTTTAGCATATCAAAAGGGTTAAGGATGTACAATGATCTTCTAACAGATTAGAAAGTGAGTGGCAATTTAACATTTCCAATTTTTGGCTTTTTTTTTGTTTTTTTTTTTTTTTTTAAATTTCTTTCTTCCTTTCTTTTCCAATTATAAATGACAAGGAATGAGTACATTGAATCAAGGCCCATTAGCCATGATGAAATCAGGTTTGAGCATTTTTGTTTCATGGGCTGGACAAGCAGCTCAGCCCACATCTTTTCTCACCATTAAAGAGATCATGGGCTTTTGAGTTGATTGACACGCAGAGCATTCAGTTGGTTCGATTTGAATAAAACCGAACAAACTAACCAAATAAACCAAAATTTTTCTAAATTCAATTGGGTTTTATATGGAATCAAATAGAACAGAACTGATTTTGTTAACTAGTTTTGGGTTCATAAAACCAATATGAACTAAAAAAATAAGGTTTATTTCTTTAAAACTTAAAACGAACAAAAACGGTCAAAACAAATTAAACAACAAACCGAGCAGGTTCGGTCAAACTACACTTTATCTTCTGAAAATACAAGGACAGGAGAGTTGAAATGTAACTAATAATGCATGCAAAGGTGGAGAGCTGCCAATAGAGCACAGTAACAGACTGTTTTTTCTTTACACGAGCGCCAGGTGTTTGAAAAAAAGACTAAGATAGGTTAATCATATATGTCTGTGGAACTGAGCCCGTAAAATGTCAAAATCAACCGCAATTCTTCAATCCCATTTTACGACTACTAAGTCTAATTCAACAAGTTGCAGCATTTTTCTTCTTTTATATATAACATTTTCAGATAGAAATTGTTAGGTAACATTTTTGTTTTTTCATGTCCAAAATAATGCAAATTCGAAGATATCTATTTCATCTTGTAAAATCTAACTTTAAAAAAAAATAAAAAATAAAAAGGGGATCAAGAACGGATGCGTAAGGAATTGAAAGGGAAAAGGAAATTGCCAAAAAGGTTGCCCAAAAGCGCAATCAAATGCGGAAAATGAAGAAGAGTTCCAACTCCAAGTCTCCTACTTAATTGACCTAATGCATGCAAAAAACCAACACACCACTTTCCATACATCATGCTTTAAATTGGGGTTGTCAATAAAATTTTATATTAATAAACAATAATAACTAACACTTGGATCATTAAAAGCCGACAATATCCTCAAATAAAATTTATCTGATTACAGTTTAAAATTTGAAATTGTCATTGTTGAGAGGACTTTATTTGAATACTATCGCTGTCTGAATAACAAAAAAAAAAAAAGACTTGTTTAAAAGATAAAAATTGAATGACAATACATAATATTTGAAGAGTTGGAAGTTTTTCCTTTCAAAAGTCAATTCTTTTTAATTTATTGGTTGATGCAAGGAAATAAATATAATTACTAAAAAAATGTCAATGAAAAATTAAGTTTCATTGAAGTATACCTTCTTAATTTGCCCTTAACAATCCATATGAAGATCACGTGCAGCTGTTGCCAAAAACTGAGAGTAAAGTGCATTTAAGGACTAATATGCAGCTGCTATGCTATGCTCTATTGAAGTTGAAGCAATCTCCTATTGATGTTGACTAAAATATTTAAAGGATGAAGATGCCTAAAGTTTGATTTAATTTATAATTGTTTTGATTTTACTTAGAACAATCAAACCCAAGATCTTTTTTTTTTTTTTTTTTTTTTTTTTTTTTAAAAAAAAAAAACCTAAAAGATTGCGATATTAGGTAGAGTCTAACTAGGTATCCATTCGAGTTACAGATATTAACTGATTATTGAGTGTCTATTGTTTCAATTATTTAGAGATCTCTCACTATTCATGTCTTTAACTAAGTCAGCGTTGACTTATGCTATGTCTCTCTCAATCTCTTAATTTTTTAAATTTGCATTTGACAGTGCAATTGAAGCAACTCTGCGGCTATGATCTTGCCTTCAAGTTCTTTACGCTAAAAAATTTGATAAGTATAGATCTAATATCTTCTTAACGGTCTTATCCTTCATATCTTACATAATTTCAAACAGGTACATAAATAAATAAGGGGATAGAGACAAAATTTTATTTATTAGTCTATGTTATTTGCAGTCTACTACTACTTAAATACGAGGATGTGATATAGAATGCCACTATAAAACTTATTATTAGAATATTTAACTTATTAACCTTTTCATTACTCACATAAGCTTTATTCCTAGTTATTTAAGTCACTTATAGAAAAAAATCTTGAAAGCAGAAAGCGGGTTGATCCTCAAGATCTTTTTTTTTTTTTTTTTTTCTTTTCTTTCTTTTTTTTATTGAACTTCACCAACTTTATTATATTCGCTACTTTACACTGTATATTGTACTATTGAGTACCTCAAATTTAAATCACAAAAAATTACCATTGGATCACGATTATGGCCTAACAACTCACGAGAGAGAGTAGCACATCCACTACATTATTATCTCTTTTTCTAGCATTTCCTTAATAAAAAAAAAAGATTTTTTTTAAAAAATATTATCTTTTTTCTATCTTCCTCTATTATTTTTTCCCTAGTCAATTTGAGTATAAGTAAAATTATCATAGTTTTGAACTTTTAAATTAATTCATTTGGTGCAATTGGTGAAAGGCCCAAAACATTTCTGCCGATTTGTATAGAGCTTAAACTAATTTTTTTTTTTTTTTTTTTTTTTTTTTTTTTTATTGAAAAATTATACCACTCTGTACCTCTATTTCATAAAAAACACAGTAACTTTTCTTTTTCATTTCTCCCATATTATAGTTTTATTTCCCTTTTTAGATCCTATTTAATATGCATGTAGATCAAGCAATATACTACTTTTACTCTTTTTTTATATGTCGTTTTTAAGTAGTAGTTTTACAAAAACACAGTAATTATTTGTGCCTTTGTGAAGACTAAGGAGCATTTTTTTTTTTTTTTATGCTTATCTCTACTAAATGGAGCACATTATTTTCTATAATTTCCTAAAATCCATCTCATCACCTTTCTCTTTCTCTCTCTTAATTTAATAATAGATTAATTGAGAGATAATCATTGATTGGAGTAATTAGGCAAAAATTAATGATATTTTATTACTTCTTTTGTTACACTTTAACAGCAACATTTAATTTTTTTGATATTTCCATAAAAATTAAAAAAATGATTGATATAATTTGATTTTCTAAAATATATAATAAAATGTGTCAATTATCTTTCTTAAAATAAAAGGTTTGATTTAATTCACAAAACACCTAATAAATATGGGTAAAACTGAAAAAAATAATCAATACACTCTCGAAATCTAGATGAGCACTTAAAAGTGAAACATGGTAAAAAGTTCATTTATTACTATTAAAGTGGGATGGAGTGAGTAGAATTTAGACAGTTTTAATTATTTTCTTAATTTTCATGCAAAATTCTTAAACGACAAATAAATGTGGACAAATAATTAATCAAATCTTGAAATGAATAAAATAATTGTCATTGCCAACTACTACCTTCATTCCATAATATTTGTCATATTTGAGAAAATAGTTCCAAAATACTTGTCCCATCTGTGGTTTCAAAGAGTGATAAATTTTTTTTCCATGTTTACACTTTGTATACGACCAATAATTTATACTTCATTTTAATTATTTTCTTAGAGAATGAGTATTAACTTATGGGTAATATAGTTAATTTATTTGAATAATTTATTGTAACTTAGATAAATTTAATGGTTTTCTTGAGGGACGTGAAATTCCAAATGTGACAAATATTATAGAGTAGAGATAATATATTACCATAATGCTGAAATATGGATTATTAGTATTTAATAAGGATATATTAGGAAAAAAAGTTAAGTAAAAATAATGATTTAACCATATTAATTAAGTTTTTTATTTTGTGTGAAAATCAACTAGACCATTATTACATAAAAGAAGAAATATTTTTATAATCAAATGTTTTTAAAAATAAAAATTCTTATATTAATGTCTCAAATTAGTGCCAACCAGGTGTGACCTGGTTGGTCTTCCCACATTTTGTCGAAGATGTGGAGAGTGAGAGGTCTCAAGTTCGAGTCTTTGTATAACTCACAATGTTATTCTGACCCATTAAGCTTCCCAAGTATAAAAAAATGTCTAGAATTAGTTACAATTATATTGATTTGATGAAAATTAAGATGAAATACAATTATTTATTTCACCTATCACTAATGCTAGTCAATGAAATTACGATTAAGTTTCAAAACATCTGAGTATAATTATGACTTTTGGAAAAGATTTTGATTTTAAGGGTCATTTACCCATAATTAATTATTTTCTTCATATATCTCACAAAGATTTATTTAAAAAAACAAGTTGAATAACAAATTTTTATCTATATTTTTTCAAATATATTCCTATATTAATATTAAATATAATTTTTTTAGAAAAAGAAAAGGCTAATATGTGCATTTTTAATTCACTTTCATTTTGCTTGTTCCTCCATGAATTGTTCTTTTCATATTTAGTGATGTATTCAAAGCCAATATCTATCAAAGATGTCAACAAATTTATTAAAATCTTATAATAGTATTTTCATGGTTGGCATATTATTAATTGAACTTCCTTTTGAGAGAAACTAAAATCAGTTTGATTTTGACAGAATTGGAATTTTTTTCTCAGATGCTAAATTTGAAATCAATCTAATTCTAAAGGCTAATCCAAATTAAGCTAGAATTAAACAAATAAAAAATAGCTGAAAAATTAATGAAATTAAATCAATAAATTCAAGTAAAACTAATAAATGAATCAAGTCATTTTTGTAAACTGCTAGAAGCTTAAGTCAAAAAAACTCATTGGACAGACGAGCTAAGTTCAGACTTTGTTGTAATTCTTAATTTAAGTTTTCAAAAGAAAGTTATTATTTGAGTTTTACTCTTAATCGTTATAATTTTAAATTTAAATTTTCGAAAGAAGGTTATTATTTAAATAAAAAATGTTATTAAAAATAATTAGGCACCGGTAATTACCTTCCCAAAATAATTTTTAATTAGAGTTGGAATCTCCAATAGGCAAAAGGCACCACATGGGGAGTTTCTTTCAAGTAAGTATCTTAAAAAGATTAAAAGTTAATTGCCATACTTAAGGCTTAAAATAATCCCATGCATGCACAACAAATCCTATATATGACCTTCATTACCTTAAAAGATTAGAAATAATAAAGGCTGTTCCATTTTTAACGGTTCACGTGATACTTTATTTTATTTTATTTATTGAATATAAAAAAATATTCTAAAATAACTCTCCTATATAGTTAAAATTTTTAATATTTGAAAACTCCTAAATTTTTAACTTTCTTTTTGTTTAATAGAAAGATAAAAAAATACTTTAATTTTTATATATATATATATTAAGTTTTTAAGTGAGTATAAAATAGTTGAGGTATACATGAGTATAAGGCTGAGCGTTATTATTCAAGTCAATCACTCAATAATAGAACCCATGTTTCTCGATCAGGATAATAACTATGTGCCTTCTATAGAAAATTTTCACCATTCTCCTTTATAGGCTCTTTAAGTTTTATTTATTCTCATATCAACATATTTTCCTCCTTATGGTTCTTTGTTTATTTTATAACTATCAACACTAAATAATAAGTATAATGAAATAAAATATCAAAAATGAAATAGTAAATTTTAGAACAATAAAATTTGATTAGTGTATGAAATCAAATGTTAATACTAATACTAATAATAATTATTTTTATTATTAACGATCATGATAATAGTTAATTATGAAATATTCCTTTAAGTTTTGTATTAATATATCTTCTTTTGTTTAATTAAAATTTAGTTTGGTTGAAACTCTTGTAAATACTATAAGGAAATAATTGTAAAAAAATATTTCATAAAAAATAGTTTTTTTAAAAAACGAAAAGTAAAATGGCTCTTAATGATAAAAATAATAAAAATAACAAAAAAAAAAAAAAAAAAAAAAATCAAAAAAAAAAAAAAAAAAAAAAAACGTATCCCTACAACCCCGACTCTCTTCTTTGAACAGGTCCCTATTGCCACGAAGCTCAGACACGTCTCCTACTCTTCCTCCACTCGTGCCGCTTCTCCCGCTTTCGCACGTGCCACTCATCATCCCTTCGAATATATACCCCTCTGTGTCCTCTGTTCCTCACATCACATGCCCTCCTTTCTCTCGCTTTCTCTCTGCACACACTTTTTTCTGATACTCTCTCCCTCTCTTTAACAATGGTGGAACCTGCAGATATGAAGGGAGCGGCAAAGATAGTGCCTTTGTTGAAGGATGAGCTTGATATTGTTATACCAACAATAAGGAATCTTGATTTCTTGGAAATGTGGAGGCCATTTTTTGAGGCTTACCATCTTATTATTGTTCAAGATGGTGATCCATCTAAGACCATCACTGTCCCTGATGGTTTTGACTATGAACTCTATAACAGAAATGATATTAACAGGATTTTGGGTCCTAAAGCCTCTTGCATTTCCTTTAAGGACTCTGCTTGTCGCTGCTTTGGCTACATGGTGTCAAAGAAGAAGTATATTTTCACTATTGATGATGATTGCTTTGTAAGTCATATTGATCTGCAACTCTTATTCTTATTCTTATTATAATTTTGCATCTGGTTTGCATTTTTCATGCCGAAATTGGGTTTTTTTTTCTGTTTTTTTTTTTTTTTTTGTTTTTTCTGTTTTTTTGTTCGAAACACTCTGAAGTGTTTTTGTTTTTATTGTGATTATTAAAAACATTGGGTATTGTTGATTTTTGGGATCTTGTTTTTTTGTATACATTGCAGTTTTTTTATGTGATGCTTTGCAAATTATAGTTTCTTTGCTTGATTTTGATGTACAATGCTTTTCTTGTTATGCTAAAGTCGATAAACTGATAATGCTGCATAATAAGTTTTGTACGATAAACAACTAATACAGAATTTTGATTTTGAAATTTGAAAAAGTACGGATATTTTGAGAAAGTTTTTTTTTTTTTTTTTTTTTTTTTTTTGGATTTTAAACAATTTGGGTATTGTTGATTTTGGATCTTGTTTGTTTTGTATACATTGCATTTTTATGTGATGTTCTTTGCAAATTATATTTCTGTTGCTTGATTTTGATGTACAATGCTTTTTCTGTTATGCTAAATCGATAAACTGATAATGCTGCATTTTTACATAAACTAACTAAAACAGAATTTTGATTTTGAAATTTGAAGTACGGATTTTTAAAATTTATAGCTTATCATATTTTATAAAATTAGTTACAGAATCATGGTAATATACAGTTTTTATTGACAAATAATTGGCTTTCAATGTGATGTACAGCTGTGAATTGTCTTAGTCATCACATATCATGTTAATCAATAATATTATTAAGCTGCCAAATGAATAATATAAGATTTAGGATTATTAAAATCTCACGTTATGCTATTTTTTTAATTTTCTTTCCATGTTGAGCGTTTAACCTGTTGGCTTACTATAATAATTTAACCATGTTAGGATTTAATATTATATCAAATTATGTATATTTTAACTCTAATACCAATATTATTAGGTTGCTAAAGATCCTTCTGGCAAGCCAATCAATTCACTTGAGCAGCATATCAAGAACCTTCTATCCCCATCCACTCCGTTTTTCTTCAATACCCTTTATGATCCTTACAGAGATGGAGCAGATTTTGTTCGCGGGTACCCTTTCAGCCTTCGCGAGGGTGCCCCTACTGCTGTTTCTCATGGTCTCTGGCTCAACATTCCTGATTATGATGCACCTACTCAGCTTGTCAAGCCTCTGGAGAGGAATACTAGGCACTTATTTGATTCATAAATATCAAATGGTTCTTTTGTGTCATTTTTTATTCAATTGGACTTTTTAATGCTTATGTTTTATTTATCAGGTATGTTGATGCTGTTTTGACAATTCCAAAGGGTACATTGTTCCCTATGTGTGGTATGAATTTAGCATTCAACCGTGAGTTGATTGGCCCTGCAATGTACTTTGGTCTTATGGGTGATGGTCAGCCAATTGGTCGCTATGACGATATGTGGGCAGGCTGGTGCACCAAGGTACATTTCTTCGACCTCAGTTTTTTGTCACCTTGTAGAACTCGTTTGGTCTTACCATTGAGAAAAACACTATATGGAAAATGTTAATTAGAGTTCATTAAAAATTGTCTCTTATTATTAATTTGACACATTCATATCATAAAAACTCTTATTGCCTTTTCCAATAACATCTAAAGTGATTTTTTTTTGAAGAATATGTTTGAATGTAGCTGCGAAACAGACTTGATGATTGTTGATTGAGGATTTTTTACAGGTCATTTGTGATCATCTGGGACTAGGGGTCAAGACTGGTTTGCCTTATATCTATCACAGTAAGGCAAGCAATCCATTTGTGAATCTAAGAAAAGAGTACAAAGGCATTTTCTGGCAGGAAGAGATCATTCCATTCTTCCAAGCAGCTACGCTGCCAAAAGATTGCACCACCGTTCAAAAATGCTACATTGAACTGTCAAAGCAAGTCAAGGAGAAGCTCAGCAAGGTTGATCCATACTTTGATAAGCTTGCCGATGCTATGGTTACTTGGATTGAAGCCTGGGATGAGCTTAACCCATCTGGAGCTTCTACTAAAGCAGCTAACGGCAAAGCATAATTAACAATTTCAATTGGAGCAAATTTTCTTTCTCAAATAATCAATTCAATACCAAGCCAAAAAAAGAAAAACTGAAATTTATACTTCTTATATTGTATTTTTATTTCTGACCAGTGTGGTCAAATGCTTGGATTTTGTCATCTGGGCATGTAGTTTTACTTTTATCCATTTAACATCTTGTAACAAACTTTTCAGAAATAAAAGTTCTTGGAATTTTGGACACTTTAATTACTTACTGAATTTGGCAAATTGTTACAAAATTGCGATTGTTAAAAATTAGAAATTAGGAATCCGAAACAAAAAATTTTCAATTTGCTGTCACAAAAGAGATGTCACTGTCACTTGGTGCTTCACTTGGATGGGTGAGATGGAAAAGGAAGATCCATTTAAGAAAAGCATTACTTACCCATTTAAAGACAGCAGCGACAAAAAACCACTCGCCGTTGCCGGGGATCGAACCCGGGTCACCCGCGTGACAGGCGGGAATACTCACCACTATACTACAACGACTACCTGATCATTGTTTTTAAATTAATTTTAAAATTAGCTTAGAATTTCTCTCAAAAAGTCTTATGATTATTAGATAATGAAGTGTAATGATTCTTTTTCTCTCAACTTTCTTTTTTTTACAGCATACAATCACATGATGTGAACGCTATAGTGTCCTTTTTCAGGAATTCCGAGTCCAATTATATTTATAACAAAACAAATGTCCTTCATTTGTTCCCTACAAATTATTTTACGACCAAATTCCTCTCTAAATACTTGAAAAGAAAACAAAAAAAAGAACTTAAGAGGAAGTAAAATGTTTTCAGTTATTTATTTGCACACCCTGTAAATAATTATCCTTCAATAAACAAAATTGTGAAACAATGATATCAGAAATGTCTTCTAAGCAGGCCAAATTAACCCAAAAAAGGAATAAAATCCTTCATGTATCACAATGCAGCTAACCGGGTTTTTCCACTCTAAAAATCATTGCAAGAATGACCTTTGGCTAACACAAATCTTGAATTTTGTTTTTAGCAAATTGCTACTTCTCTCACTCTGTCTCTGTCTTCTCTCAGTTGCAATAAACAAATAAATTGTACTACCAAAATAGCAAAATTCTATAAAAAAATAATGATATTAATAGCAAGAAACAACTAACATCATACATCAACCACAAAATTGGAGCAAGACTGCTTCTTAGTCTGCCGCAAAGTTGTCAACTACATAGCACTTATGGGATACATGATATGCTTTTACCCGGCATCAAACATATGGAGACTTGTGAGACAGCAACAGGAAGGATGAAGACTTGCCTAGATTTACCAGCACCATACAAGCAGTACAGCTTATTTCTCATGAAATTGAGTTTGAAGTATCTGTTTCTGCTGTCTTTTGACGCTTGGCTTCAGGCTCTTCGCTGTTCTCATGGTTCAGGTGTCCATTCACTGCCTCGGGACCCAAAAGCGACACGTGTTTGCTGGTAATTTGACGACCTGCCCTAAGTTTTGGTCCCCAGTGCCTTTCAGGATTTGGAAGGAAGCGAGCGATCTTCTTCGCTTGTGCCTTGCTAAGAGATGCAACAGCTCGAGCAAAATTTGCCTGCCAAAAGGAGTAGGTACAGAATTCAGGCACATACTATTCATGCAAAACATTTAGAAGTGTATCCATACAAAAATGAATAAAATACTAAAAGAAAATTTGAAGTATCTGAATTTTAAGGCATACTTGAAGAACTGGTTCTTTAGCAAGTATCACACTTCCTGATTGATCAGGTGCTTGAGCTTTCACTGGATGATTTTTGACCTATATGAAAGAACAGAATCCATCATTTCACAAGTCTTTGACTAAGTAACCAAAAGAGGAAAGATAAAAGACCAGTCAGCCAGAAAAAACACTTAAATTGATATCTTAACCATGTTCTACAAGAGAGGATCTTCAACATCAGTCCTTACCCAGCATCTCATTATATCCCAAATGACATCCATGGGAGCATCTGATTTTAGCCCCAGTGGATTGACATGTGTTCCAGAAATACGATAACCAGCATTGATCACAGCCGAACGCAATATTACTGCGGATGGGGCAGTGCATTTCAGTGTTGCGCATAGGTTGTGCAGACTCCAAAAGAGAGGAACATCAGGCAATTCCTGCAAACAACAAAGCATGGGAATAAGAATGTCCATTTAGACAAGAAGTTTTCAGCAAAATTGGATTCGCAGTACAAAATTTTCAAAGCCAGAACAATGAGGCTCTTTTTTTACAATTATCAGTGGCATTCTAAACGATAAAATGTACTAAACATCAGCAAGACACCATTCTTCGTGGAGAGCATCAACCAAATGGTAAGAACAGATCAAGTAACAAAACTGAGGGCAAGGTTATCATTTGTTAAAAGATAGAGATAAGCTTTCCAACTGAGATTGAGTTTCATGAATATGCAGGCTAGAAAGATGTCACTTGCTTCTATTCTATCTATTTGTGCATTAAGTTCAAAGAAGATCTCAATCAATAATGAATAAAATGATAGCAGCTCATTGTTTTATAGGCTTTATCCAGTTCAAAGAGTTTAGGTAATACTTTCAAAGTGACTCTTGACGGAGAATCCATGCTATTCAAGAAGAATCACAGCCATTCCCCAATCCTAATGAAGTAGTTCCCCGGAATCCAATGAACAACAATTACTTAGGATCAGCTTCTGAATCTATGCCACCGTAGTAGAGCCATTACCAATGGCACGCTGTGCACCTAAGTGCAAAAAGACAGTGCAAGGTTTGTTATGCTGAAACCTAAATTTTAAGTTACCGACACTTTCAAATGCCTCTCCTTCCCATCGCATTTGTCTTTAGATGGTCTAGTCACAGGTTTTCACTTCTCAGTGAGCGCGATTTTTGTCTCCAGGTGATCATTGAAAGCTTCTATAGTAGGACGTAGAGTCTAAGGGAAGGAACTTTCAATAGGCACAGTTAAAGAACATCTATTGAATTTTCAATACACAAATTACTAATATTTTTCAGCGTTCAGTAACAACACAAAAATCACAAAATTTAGAGAACAAACCTCAGATACTGTTGTCAGTACAGCAGAGATTTTATCATAAGCAGGATACCGGTCCTTCATAGATTTTACACCTTCTAATATAGAAGCGACCCATTCTTGATCATGAATCGGTGCAGACCATATAGGTCCACCCATGTTAAATTTCTTCCCACAGTCACTGCACTCTTGAGGAACAGTAGGACCAAACCCAGGCAGATATCTTACACTGTTGTTCTGAAAAATGAAAAAAACATGATATATGGACTTTTTTAACTGTTTCAAGTTTTTCTTTTTCCTTTTTTTTTTTTTTGAAAAAAAAAAAAAAAATTCCCACAGTTCAACTCGGGCTGCATCTCTTGAGGAACAGTAGGGATCCCCGCCAACCAAACCCAGGGCAATATCTTACAAGGCTGGTTGTTCTGAAAATGAAGAAAAAACATGATATATGGACTTTTCTTAAAAACTGTTTTCAAAGTTTTTCTTTTCCTTTTTTTTTTTTTTTTTTTTTGAATTTTTTTTTTTCTTTTTTTTTTTTTTTGAAAAAAAAAAAAAAAGAAAGAAAGAAAGAATGTGACATATTGAGCCATAGGCACAAGTTACTCACTCTCAGACCATATATTGTTTTATCAAAATTATCACAATTTTATCAAAATTATCTTCCCTAAAGTGAAAAAAAAAGAATAAAAGGAAAATAAATAAACTCACCAAAGCTAAAAAAGATAGGAATTAAAGTAATCAGGTACTTGTCATATAGTTATGCAAACTGAACTTCTATAAGCATGACAATAAAAAATAGCACGTGCAGGCATATCAAAATGGGATGTACACCTTGGAGATAGTCCTGCCAATAGGCTGCAGATGAAAAGAATCACAACCAATGCATTGATAAACATACGAGAGCTTAAGAGGAGTGTTTTTCATTGCACTTGCAGAACTGCAAAAACAATAATTTGAACCATCAGTCAACATGATCCGGAAGAGCTAGCCTTTTCAGGTACATATTAAAATCAGAACAAAAATGCCACCCACGTGTATATGCGAACAAAAACTCGAACATAAAAGTCCATTTGGACAGACAGCACAGGAACAATGTAGCGCTTGTAGCGATTTGCATGGCTCTGCAGTCAAAAAGAAAATTTACAATTATTCCCAAAAATAAATCTGAAAGGGAAAACCTATGAACATACACAAGAACCAAAGGATTCCCCCATCCCTAATGAGGATAAAACACTTGTCTTTTTAACAAAGTCCAACAACAGACACAATTAAAAGACAATTGATCTAAGTAGCCAACAGCAAAGTCAGGCAAAGTCTATCCAAGCCTCATATGAAAGCTGCAAAATGCAAAATATAACATATTGATTTCCAGAACCATTAGCCAAGTTACATAGCTTTTCATATATGTTACAGTGTCCGTATAGAACAGTATTCTGTAGAATGATATTTTGCACATCTAGAGAAGGTATTGATTAGATCATAAGATGGTCAAAGGATGTAAAAAATCCTTCACTGTCTATAAAGTAGTTTCCGTTTCACCATTAAATAAGACATGAAACTTTAAAGAGCAGCCTCATAGGATAAGTATATTACTTAACAAATTGCTGTTGAAATGTTACTTTCATACAGTTTTACCCATAATTAAATAAATTCAATAGTTTCACCTACATTAGGTCACTAAAAATTAAGCATTCACAGCAAGAAATTGACAGCCAAACACAGCTGTTATTCCTCTACCATTTCTTTAAACCAAAACATGCCCCATAACACATTTATTATTTGATGAAATAAAAAGAATTAAAAAAAAAAAAAAAAAAAAAAAAAGCAAAAAAAAAAAAAAAAAAAAAAAAAAAAAAAAAGCAAAAGCACCTCAATGCAGGCAAGTAGGATCCTCAAAGCCATTTCGTGGCAATATTTGCCTCTCAGTGGATAAGAGCCATACCTTATTCCACAAGTATTTGTTAGAAGGAAAGCCTTGAATCTCAAACTCATATTCAGATGCAAATATGGGTTGCAAAATCTTACTTGGAATAGCAAACCTCCCCGTTACCTCCACAAAGAACTGCCATATCAGTTGCTGTACACATTAACAATCCACCATCAACAACAGACTGAACTGCAGAGTCCAAGAATATTGAAGGCGATCCATAAGGATCAAGATCAACCTGAAACATTATTAAAAACTAAAACATAAATTTTTCCACATGCACATCTTCAGGAACCAAGATAAAAACGAATTTAAAATATACATACTGCATCAAATTCTTTTGGATGGGTGAGCATATATACACGAGCATCAGCAAGATGTGATTCAACCTTTGATTTTGCAACTCTACCATTGTACTCTATATTTCTCCTGCAAGAATCAACCGATGCTGCAGGAGAAAAATAACAGCATAAATTCTGATGTACAATTAATTTGGTCATCACATGGACACCCTGCACCATATGTATATATATGCACATATATATAGATGCATACAACCTCTCTCTACACATAAGAGGCTGAATGTTTATGTTATCTGTTATCTACATTTGTTTCTTGGGTCCACTATGCATGTTTCTTTTGGGAATCAAGAGGGAAGACTTCCAGAAGGCTAACTTCCAAAATGTTCACCTTTATCATTGTCCAAAGCCACAACTTGACCAATCCCTTCAACTTCAATAGCATATCTTAAAGCTCTCAACCCAGAAGCTGACAACGCCTATGAATGAAAACAAACTTTTTAAAAGTTGATTCAGCAGCAATATAATACATAAAAACAAAATCACAAAAATAATAGCAAATGATTAATTAAACTAGAAATTTATTATAAAACCTCAAGAACCCTCGGGGGCTCTGGAACTTTGTGCTCCTTGGTCTGTACAGGTTCTTCTGATATGCTGCAAGGTTCATCTTGAGGTATCTCATCAAGCATTTCACTGTCTCCATTCAATTTTTCATTATCCACAGCAGGCTCATCAGATGTTTCTTCAACAGCAGATACTGAGTCATCTTTTACGTGTACCTTTTCTTCATGTTTTCCATTTGATTTTTCATTGTCCACAACATGTTTGTTAGAGGCTTCTTCAATAACAGATCCAGAAGCATCTTTCTCAGATAACTTCTGTACTGATTTTGTTCTTCTAGACAACCTTGCTTCGTGTTCCTCCTTGCGTTTAGATATAAATGTCCTTAGGACGGCAATGGATAAGTCTCTATTGTTAACCTGATAATTTTTGAAGAAAAATTTTTAGGAACCTCTCACAACAAAAGGAAACCACACTTTAACAATATCAGGAAAATGACCTAAAGCAAAAATTGAGCAGAAACATAGTTTTTAAGCACATGCTTTTTGAATTTCATGGAATATAATGTCTCGCAATTCACTGCAGTACTGTAAGTTAGTCAATAAAGAGACATGTGAAATCCGTTGCAAGCTTTGTAGCAAAGAAGGGATAATAGATCACAACTGTCAATTAATTGTTTGCAGGACTTTGAATGAGTTAAACAAGGAAAAGTTGCATCTGCATAGCTTGAATATCTTATCTTAGTAAGATTTCAGATTTCAGATTCCGCTCTTACTAACTATGGGTCGCATTGGCAATGCCAGTCACAGTTTGTTTTTGACTACGTTGTGGTTGTGGTCCTTATGACAGTTCACAGTGTATAGCTATTCTTGAGATATCCTGATATTCCCTGCTAAGGTACATTACATGATTTATATAGAAACAAATATATACACCATTTAGTTGCAGGCAAAAAAGATATTGACATATTGAATTCACAAAATGACTTCCTTATGCACATTATGAAGCATTTAAAGCAAGACAGTAAAATAAGCCAAAACTATTGGACCTATTAATGCAACACAATTATCCTCCAGACTGCAGAGGAAACTCTGCTCTTTGCCCTCCGCAATTGCAATAAAATAACACTTTAGTACACAATACAACATTATAATTCTCAAAAATCAAGCTCAATCATTGAATTAAACTAACACTTTAGTACACAATACAACATTATAATTCTCAAAAATCAAGCTCAATCATTGAATTAAACGAATAAACAGTAAAGGTGGACAAGTTTAAGACTGGAACATTGTCCAATCCAAAAGTTTGGTCTATTTCTTCATTGAGCATCAACTAAAAATAATAATTCTATTCTCATAACCTCACCTCAAACACAAAACCCAACTAAAAAGAAAGAAAGAAAATAAAAAGATTTTCGAAACCTGGGCTTTGTTGAAAAACACTTGATTTTTCTTATGCATGAGAATCTGAGCCTCTCCTTCCGTGATAAAGGTATAGTCATTGAGATCCACATCCATTGTCATTGTTTCGCTGATTTCATGCAACAAAAACAGATTATTCTTGTGGATTTGCCCTTGTTCTTCTTCTACTACTACTCCTTTCTTTTGCCTCTTCCCGTTTAGTTTCTGATCAGGAGGGACCGAAGACAGAGACTTTGGCAATGATAGGCTCAGAGTTTTTGCAAATAAGAGATCTTTTTGCGATTTTAGAGTTCGTGTAACCGTCAAGTACATCAAAGTAAAGAGCTTTATATATATGTACACAAGTGACCACTTCCTCAAATTCTTCAAATTTGCAACTTCTCTTAAACCCTAATTTCTTACCCCGGTTCATGTTAAATTTTCCTTGTAGTTTCTTGCTAAAGTGAGCTGGACGGTTGTCTATTCATTGGGTGGGTTTAAAATTTTCCGGTGGAGTTCGGGTCTCGGGTCTTCGGCTCTTTTATACATGGTAACATGGAGCTACTTTTGGACCTTGGTAATATTAGCTGGGTTGCCGTCTACTTTATTAATCCATTTATAATTTATCTAAATATTTTCTACATCTATTTTTTATTAATTTTAATTAATATGGCAGAATATTGATATCTTACAATTTTCTGATATAATCATAATTTTTTGAAGGTAATAATTATTTATGATATCATTCAATTGGTTTAATTATTTGTGATAACCAGCTACTTGCTGATCAATGTATTTATTAGATGAAGTTTTAATATTTCACTATATATATATATATATATATATTTAAATATATATATATATTATATACATTTTTCAATTTAATATGTTGTCTAGAATTAATATATATATATATATTATACATTTTTCAATTTTAATATGTTGTAGAATAATAATATTAATTAAATTTTTAATGATAGTTATTTATTATTTTTAGTAAGTATAAATAAAATGACGTAAAAATATTATTTAGTAATTATTTTTATAAAATTAATATAACTTAAACATAATTAAAAAAAAAACTAATAAGCTAGTAATTGATAAGAAAAAAAATTCTAAAATGCAGCTGATCAGATTTCTGGTTATGTCTATCACTTCTATAAAAGAGGTAAGTTTTAACTACAATAAAATTATCTTTATTTATAATAAATTTCATATGCAATTATTTGAAAAAAAAATAATTATATTGATTGCCTTTGGTGAGCATTCGGTTAATCAATCCGAATTAATTTGATTTCAGTCTATTAAAATATATTTTTATGGTAATAAAATAAGATAATAACTAATTGAAACCGAATTAAAAAAGCGATTTGGTGTAATTTGAATTCAGATATTTTACAACACATTAACTATTTTAAAGTTAAAAATAAATTCAATTATATAATAACTAAACTGAAAAGTAAATAATTTTATACATCTAAATGAATCGGTAACTAAAATTTTAAAATAATCATCCGATTTAATTTGATTCGGACTTAGAAATCGAGAATTGATGATGTGCTTATTAGTTAAATAGAGTGAGCAATAGATTAAGGGCATGTCTCCTTACATATACAAATTCAAATTGAATATTTTGAAATATTATAGTAATAAAAAATTGGAAAAAAAAAAAATTAAGAGGAGACAGAATTCCCACTTTCCTATAAATTCTCTGCCACTATCTGATTTTGAGGCATCAACTCACCACTATTTCTAGTTTATACGCTTTATACGGTTTTAATTCTAAATTAAAAGGTTTTCAAAAAAAAAAAAAAATCTAAATGAGAATTTTAAATTAAATTATAAAAAGCATTCAAATCGATAAATCTTGTAAATAATTTCATTTAGTTTGATTTGAGTTGAATAATTTTTAGCTATTTATATTTTATAAACATATTATATATATAATTAATTAGTTTACACCCGTTTTTGCTTTCAATAAATTTAAAATTTTATTTTCTTAATTTTGAAATTAACATGTATTTATTTAATTATTTAATCTTAAATTAATTTTCAAGTTTGAAATTTAATTCTTCACTACGGCATTAAATTAATTCAATATTGATATTACTAGTTGTGTTATTTCTTCTTTTGAACAAATAAAAGCTAGAAGTAATTCAAATTGGTGAAGAGATATCTACACAAGAAAATTTTCTTTTTTTAGACTCCAAATCATAATTCCCTTAAAAATACAATTAAAAATATATATACATATAAAAAGAGAGAAAGAGCAAATAGATTAGCATGTCCAAGCACTCACAGCATAAAGGGGACGATCTTGCCAGCAAATCATCAAACTTGATTTCTCACTAATTATCTTATAACCCTTACCAAAAGAATTAATAATTTGTTTGGCTTCCTCGTCAAAATTATACCACAACCTAACTGGCTTAAACCCACCTCTAGTCAACCTAACCATCCATTTACCATACCTCTCATGTCTTTCACATCTTTCCAACCCTTCACATGCTACAATATTTTCAATCTCTCTTCCAAACATTTCCTCTAAAACCAACCTTTCTTCATTACTCAAATTCCCTAAAGCAGAATCAATTGAATCGAATATTGCACTGTAATAATGTAATCCCTCCACGAATCGATCGACAAGTCGATTTAAATTATTGTTTGCTTCTTGCTCTACTAAAAACAGTAATTTAGGTGATGTCGATAAAATCATAGTTAAAAAATTACTCATCGATTTGCAATTTTTGATTTTATTGAATTTGTTACCTCCAAAATGTGCATCCACTCGATCGTCTTCTGTAAGTAAGATATGAAGATTTAATATAGATATAAAAGCTAATGCTTCTCCTGATCTTACCTTAATCATGTCTATGGTTACATCTCTTAAGCTCACACTTAGAGGATTAAATTGGAACGGGATGTCTAACATTGCAGCTTCTTTTACAAGCCTTTGACCCAACTTTTCTAAAATTGCTTTGTCACGATTGAGGCAAGTTATCTTCAAATGTGGAGGCCCATTGGGCAAGTGAACTAAGCTATGGAGAAGAGCTACCCACAATTTAGGATCAGTAGAGCCTAAATCCACAATGTGAATTATATTTTCATTGGTCATGGCTTGAACCAATGTTCTCACTATAACAATATTGACAAAACCAAAATAAGGGAATGCTCTTGCAAATAGAGCATTAGCCTGTTCTAGGTTTATTTTGGGTTTTTGGTCATGGTTTAGAGCCTTATATAGACCGGGCCAATGCTTGACAAGGCGGATGGCTAGACCGGAGGCGAATCTGGCTGCTAGTCGTTGGATGGAGTCACCAGACACCGATGAAAGCTCCGATATCTCCCAAAGGCAAGCATTAGCTCGGTGGAGATTGCCAGAAGAGGCATGATTGGAACATTTTAAGAGAAGTTGAATGAGACGAATGCCTCTTTTTTCAGCATTTAGAGTTTCATGAATAGGAGAGGATGATGATAATGCTAGAGATAAGGTTATATCTGGCTTTAACAAAGAACTCATCTAGGCTATATACTATTTTTTGGAGTGATTTATTGGTTTTGCTTTAGTTGTTGAAGCATTTGAGGATGCTTTGAGACTTATAGAGGTATCAATTTTGGAGGATGAGCAGGTGAAACTGAAACAAGAACTATGCTCTTGGAAGTATGTGACCACTCCAAAAGAAAAAGTACAAGAATTTAATAAATGATTTTTAGGAATCTATCTTGATTTATTCTTTTTAATTTTTTCGAAAAGAAAAAATCAAGGGAATATTATTGATTAATCATATGAACTTTTGGAGGATTCTAAAGTCATCTTAGCTAGAAGAATATTTGTAAAATATGGAAAAAAAATGTCAAAATAAATATCCAATTATTTCCAATATTCACTATATTATCTATTTTTGTAAGTGAATAACCTTGAATCTGGCCTTTCATATCTACCTAATTAGGTAAGACTACTTGATTAATATGACCATGTCTCGATTTTTCATCCATAATATTCCCATTTGTTAAATTTTCATTTTTTTTACCATATAGTATGATTTTCTTTTTGTGACCCCGAATGTTTGTTTTGGCTTTAATGTTGGATGCACTTAAACTCTGACCTCTTTGATTTGTCTTTATGGATTTGAATCAATGAATTACTACAAATTTGAATATATAAACTATGATCGTCATCTTACCTATATTTGCTTTCCAATATTTTTTCCCATTTGGCATTCTTTATTTTTTCTATATAAAAATTTATAGTATGACTTTTTGTATTAATTTTCCAAATAAATTTTGAATTAATATTGTAAGGTCAATCAAATATTTGTGGCCCTCATCACATAAAACATGTTATTTTGTCCATTAGGAGGATTTGAATGTGTGCCACCAATGGCGTAAGGCTTTGAACCATCTGCTCAAACGATTTAAATATCAAAGTTAATTGGACACAAGTGCCGCCTACCCACATTACGTCTCATTGTCCTCTAATCAAAAATATGCTTAGCTTAAAGACAAGGTTAGGCATTACAAGCCAAAAGAATGGTGTTAGTCCCGCATTAAAGTTCTCTTATAATAAATATACATGTAGTTCAAATTTTTCAATCATAAGATTAGGACCCCAAATAAATTAACTCATTTGCGAAATGCTAGAGATTCAATTTGAAAAAGTATTTAATGATCAAACTCGAGAAATAAACAAACGAGATGAGCACTTACTCAAATTTATCTATATTCAGCGTCGGAGCTTTAAGTCAGTATTTCAAGCCCGTGATATGAACTTCAACTCAAATTTGAGTCTATAAAGATTAACAGTTGAAAAAAAATCCGCTCGATCCTAAATCAGATTAACGGTTGCATGGCTGAGCAAACCGAAGTAGTTTTGCAAATTGGATTGGTGCTTGGTTATGAGATAATGACATATATCTAAAAAGAAAAAACAATCATTATAAATTCCACTATTAATCTTATAATTTTCCATACTCGAACAAAAAAATCCATATTCAACTAATGGACCATTCAAAATTTTTTTTTTCATATAAGAAAGAAGATGAAACATAATAATGATAAAAAAAAACATTGAGATGTGCATCAAGATAATCATTCAAAATATATAACACATGGCAAAATTAACACATATTTCATCCTCAATTTTAAACATAATTTTGGTCCCAAATTTCATAAGACATAAAACTTTCCAGTTTGATATTTTTCTTTTTGCTTGCCAAGAAATTTCATCCCTCCTGAAAGGTTTGATGGAAATTCCACCCTTCCAACATGAAGTGAATGCTACTACATGATCTCATATAACAAATGATAGTTTTGTCGAAAAAAAATGACCGGCTTTTTCATCAAAAAGATATGTGAAAGGATTTATCGCTTGAAAATCTCTCCCCAACAATTTTTTTTTTGTCTCCAAGAGATATATACTGGTACAAGATAGACAAGGACGAAGCCAGAATCTAAATAGAAGAGGGGCAAACCAAGGACGAAGCCAGAATCCAAATAGAAGAGGGTCAAACCATACAACACGTAAATGAAGGGGGACAAAGTGGTTGGAATACTTTGGAAAAATGGAGAAATTAGGGTTCAAACCGTGAAAACGCAGACCTTTTTTTTTCCTCCTCTTGGCAATTGACCCCCCTCTTCCAATGACTAGTTTCGTCCCTGAAGATAGATGTATTGTTACAAATCATAACAACTCTGTCAGACTTATCTTAATATATCCTTTCATAGTTTTCTAATTTTTCTTCAAAATATTACCTTCAATATTTCCTGTTCTTTCTCACTTGCATTATCAAGCTTTTTCCCCCCCGTATATGCTACAACACTTAAAAACAGCAAGTTATCTATAAACCGGTTCTCACTACCAACATATTTATACTAGTGCATAGCTTCCCATATGCATCTTCTTTCAAACTCACGAACCTGGATCATGTTCTCAGACCAATATATAGCTTTCCCATATGCATCTTCTTTCAAACTCACGAACGGATCATGTTCTTCAGACCAATATATTATATATCTATATATATAATATATATATATTAATATATATATATATATGCAATGGATCTCACACGCAACCGAGATTTAATCCCATTCATCTTTGGCTATACAAACAGAGTCCAAGCAAGCTTTTCCCACAAATTTTCTTCCAATTTTGTTCGAAAGACATTTGATAAAAATTTTAAACAATCTATGAATTTGGTATAAATCTCTCATGGAACACCTATAGATTTGTCATTTAATTCAATATAAACATAATAACATTTATGTTAATTTGTATCAACTACATTCGTCATATTATAAAAATAAAAATACGAGTCCTATCCTCTATATGGGAAGAAATATACTCCATATCCATAAACGATATATGATTAATGCAATCCAATTACAGAAGGTACTAATATTAGCATTAACTACTATTGTTGTTACATTTTGTATATTTTAAATAAATTTAATACAATTAATTAATCTAACATTTCCTTTGAATAAAGAGATCTGAAGTTGGAAATTTTAGGTTAGATTAATTAATTACATTTTGGAATATTATTGTTCTTTTGGTTAATTATATTCAATAACCTAGATTAAATTCATGAATTTGAAATATCTACAAATTATGCTTAAATTCCATTTCAACGGTACTTTAAACTACAAATTTTTTCATACCAAGCTTAAAAACAGAAGCAAACTAAAACTCTGTACAAGTAAAGGAAAAAGTTAATTTAAAGTACGGATCTACAAATAACAAGTCAGATTCAGAAGATTTTACCTCATAAAACGCTAGATATTGTAGTTTTTGAAGCTTTTGATCGGATACGGTAAGTGAAAAGAGAAGGAAAGGGATGAATTATTGAAAACCATCGGTATGGGGGGTGTGGGTAAGATGATTCACAGAGATTTTCATCTTGCCCATATCGCCCATGCCAAAAGCTTCCAATGAATTCTATCTCCCTTTACTTTCTGATACGAAGCAAAATCCCTCGCCTACGCTTCCCTCTGTTCTCTCTCTTTTTTACATCGCAGAGAAGAGAAATGTTTGTTTACCCTATCTTGTATTCTTCGAGTCTAAGTGTCCATTTCAGATCGATTCAGAAAGCATGGGCCCATGTGGCACATGTAATGATGAGCCCAAGAGAATAAAGCCAGTAATCAAGCCCTGTAAATGAGGCATAGTTTTAGGCCCAACACAAGCATAGAGCATAATTATGGACACTTTTCTTCTTCTTCGTTTTCATCCTTTTCTTCTACTGTTACTAACTAACGCCAACTCTTTTTCCAGATCTGCAGATCTTGTTTAGGTACCTCGCACTCCTAATCACTGTCAGTCGCACTCGAAGATGACATCGTTCTCCTTTGCTTTATGGCAAACCCTAGCCGGCGACTTCCTCTTTCTCTTTAACAAATGATTCTTTGATTTTGAATTTCTTTTTTTTGTTTTCTGTTTCTTTTTCTAAATACACTGGTTTTGTTAGTAAGTAGTATATTAGGGAACCTAATTTTTTCTTTGTCCTCTGACCATCGTTCTTCTCGTGAACTTCTTTGCTAAACTGTTAAAAAATGAACGGAGATATATTTTAGTTTAACGGTGATAAACTACAAGGATATAATTATGTAATACTTAAAATATAAGGATAAATTAGCTAATTATATCGAAACAAAATCGTATTTTTTCCCATACCAATAAATTAAGAAAACACACGCACAATGACCAAAAGGTGCCACTCTTACGATCCTTAATCTAATAATAAATACATATATTAAAATATTTAAAATTAAAAAATAAAAATAAAAAGAGAGACTTTAATTTAATAATAAGATTACAATTTAGCCCGTCAAATTAAAAGATTTTATATCCAAATCACTCGATTATTGATATTAGGGGATTGAGATTTTCTTTTTCTTCCCGCTATAAATAGACTCGAGTATTTTCATACCAACTTTTACTTACAAACACTAAACTCAACTTAGATGATTTTAAAAGTACATATGCTCGATCAATATATAGTTTTCTTAGAAATATTATTAAAATTTTCTAAAGGATTTATAAGAGAAATCAAACTTTAATTAGAAAGAATTTGTTACACTTTAGAAAAATTTTATATCATCTGAGCATAAAAGATTAAAGAAATATACATAAATATGGGTAAATCACATACCAATAAAGTGTTTTAGACTTAGAGGCGAGTCTCTAATCTAAGAACAAAATCGTGCGGGTTGATTTCAAAATAAATAATATCTTGTTAATCGGACGGTGATAAAGTTCACTTAAAAAGATTTTTTTAGTGACATTATATCACAAAGCAATTAGATTTTAGTTTTTCTTTCTGTTTGTAGCCTGAAATTCCACAATTGGTTAGAGGTTGTCTCCGACAGCAACGTCTAGTATTGATTTGGTCATAAGCAGTGGAATAGGTAGGAGAAGGGTAGATTTCTTTACCCATACCACTTATTAAGGCATTGGTTTAGTAGTAGTTCACTTTCAAACATGTAAATTTTTATACTTAATTAACTAGAAAAAATAAGTGTGTTTTCTCATGGTGTCACTACTTTTCATCCCGATCATAAAAATTTTAAATTTTAATTAGTTAAGACTATCTTCTATTGTATAGTCCATAATATTTTTTCGGTCTGTTGGACCTTTTAATAAATAAATAAAAAATTATATATATAGCAATGTCATGCTATGGAGTATTAGAATTGTGTATAAAATATGAATATGTACCTAGAGCTTCTCCTGAACAAATATGAGGATGACACCTATACATTTTCCAATTATTGAACTTTGTAAGGATGAAATGTTCTAAGCTAAATAAATAAATATATAAATAGATCATGTTGGATTTGGCAACTTATTCTTACTTTTCTCTCATTCAATGAACTTTATAACATGAAAAAGAAATTGTCACTTTCTTCTCTTGCTAAAAACAGTAACCTCAGCTTTCCACTACTTTTCATTAGATTTAAATAATATTTTTTAAATTCTAAATGCAGCCTAAATCATTATTTTCACTTTTCCATCTATGTGGTGTTGTAAATGATCTATGAAGTCATTTATCTAGAAAGTCCTTTTCAATAATATTTTCTCCCTTATGAGATAAACATTCATATATATTTTATTCAAATAATTAAACGGAATCGATACGACTCTTAATATATCTAAAATAAATTTAAAAAATTTTATAGTGAAGAAATCTCGAATTTGAGATCTTTTACTCTCTATATAAATAAGACGACTAATCAAATCACACATGGTTGGCACAAAATTCAAATTTTAATACGAGATAAAGTATCTTATGTAATTAACTTCCATAATTATCTTCTTAACCGTTAAGAATCTTAGTTTTAACTTTCCTAAAATAATTTTAATTAACTTATTAGTGTTAGATCCCATCTTTATAAAGTCATCCATGAGTCTCCTCAAATGATTTGAAAACACATGGATGGCTCAAAATGTGTAAAAGAGAATTAGGTATGATTATTACAAATCAAGGACTTCATTTCAAAGATTTTAAGTACCTCTCCTACATGCATTGCACAGTGGAAAATACTAAATTGAAATTGAACTCTAAAAAGGAGAGAAGACCGACGAAGACCATTTCCGTTTTTGCACCATCAAACAATAAAATACTATTAATTAAGAAGATTGATATCTTTAATCCTCTCTCTATCATTACCTATAAATAGTCATTTCAACTATAAAATATGAAGCATATCCAATTAACGTATGCCCTAACATGCCAAGAATGTTGCTTATACTCATCCAAAGGCCACACCTGTGCTGTGACATCCAAAACCTGTCCCTTATCACATATTCAAAGACCGCATTACTTGGCATACTAGAAGCTTCATTTATGCTAATTTTTAAAAAATATTATATAATTATCATTAAACAATGTTTAAAGCATGCAATTAAGAATCCTCTGTCTCAACAGATGGTATGATGCCATTGAAGAAGAAGCCCTTTTCGAGGAAACATTCAACTACCCACTAGCTTTTCGGCTAGCAAAATACCAAGATTATATTTGCTTTCAATAGTTAAAGAATATTATACATAGTCAAGCTAAAACGTTGATAGATTCCAACTTGAGTTTGAGTTGTACGCTGATATCAAAGGAGTTCGATAAGTAAACTAAAATTTGACTCGTTAAATTTACTGAATGAGCTCAATAACTCTTTTTTAAACTAAATCTCGAGTAACTCATGAATGATTTAGTTTATTTACAATCTTATATATCAACTAGATTTCCATTAGTATGATTTATGGTTAGTCTACAGACAAAGTCAAAACCGTAAATTATATGATATTTAATATTGAGTGGACACACATGTTGAAAAGAAATTGGGCAAGAGACATTGAGTTGGTAAGCATATTGTCAAAACACTTGGACTCAAGTCATAGGATATAGAGGTAATGATCTGATCAAACCAAAAGAACTTAAAAGAGTAGAAATTGTACTAAAAAGCAAGTCCTAATGACCATATATTATATATCTCACTTTAGTTAATGACAAGCATTGACGTGACTGATACTGATATACGTATCTATAAGAAGCGTAGGTTCATTTTATGTCATACAATTTGGAGACAAACAACAAATATACACAGAGAGAAAGAGAGAGATAGTGAAAGTGAAAGTGAAAGAAAGCTATGATGATGGGTTGGAGAGTTCCTGAACAAGTGTGGAGGAAAGGTCCTTGGACTCCTGAAGAAGATAAGTTGCTTGCTGAATATGTCAAATTGCATGGAGAGGGAAGATGGAGTTCTGTATCTAGATGTTCAGGTAATTCATTATCTATTTACATATCTCATTAAAAATGTAGAAAAATGAAGCAATTAAGTGGAAGAAGCTATGAAATATATTAACTCTTTTCTCTTTCTTTATTGGGATAGTACAATTTTGAACTTCTAAGCCCCGGCTGAACACGATTCTATATTGGTAAATTTGCAAATTTATATAAATTATCTGTGCACTTTTTGGGTGGAAGCTAGAAAAGATATCTTAGCTTTTATCAATAATATATAGCACTAGATATTCTATATATTTGCCTTTCGTATTTATAATTAATTAACAGAAGTATTTCTTTTTGTTTTTTTCAAATTAATTTCATGCTGGCTTATTACCTGCAGGTTTGAATAGGAGTGGGAAAAGTTGTAGACTGAGGTGGGTTAATTACCTCAGGCCTGGCCTTAAACGAGGTCAAATAACACCTCAAGAAGAAGGCATTATTATTGAATTGCATGCCCTTTGGGGCAACAAGTAATGCAATAACTCTCTTCTATTTTCTTTCAGTTATGAATGATTAAATTATTTTTGTTACCATAATTATTTTTGATATTCATGTTTGTAGATGGTCGACTATTGCTCGATATTTGCCAGGAAGAACAGACAATGAGATAAAGAACTACTGGAGAACCCATTTCAAGAAGAAAGAGAAAAAACAAGAAAAGAAAAAAGGCAATCAAATTTTGATTAATACTCAAGAATTGCAGAAACACAAAGAACAAGAACAGCAGTTGGGAAATGAAATGAAAAGGGTACTAAAAGGTACAATTCAGGATGAAAAAGTTAATCATGATCATCAAGAAAAGCAAGAAATGGTATTTATGTGTCCCACTAATTTGGAGCATCAATGCTTGCCACCTGCTTTGATGTCTCAAGCAGATAATATTGCATCATGGGCAGATTTTATGGTGGATGATGGACTACTCTGGGGTGGATTGTGGAATCTTGATGATGATTATAATCGATTAGGTTGATCATAAAACTAACAGCAGCAAAATAACCTAATAAAATCTAGTGTGGACTTCAAACAATATTACTAATGAAGGGTACATTTTCTGAAGGAACATGTGGTTATGGTTATGAGAAAACAAATCATGTTGTGCTTTGTCTCTAATTGGTTAATTTGCACTACTTGTAACATTAATTATTAATTTACATTAGCAGACAATAAAATTTATTGTGAATTTTGTTATGCTTTTTATTTTTTTAGCAATTTGATTGGCTATGACTCTAGTTATTGATGATAAAATAATTTAGATTACATATTGTGTGTGATGAAGAATATAATGTCGTATCGTAATTTTAACATGTTGTATAGATTACAAAAGTATAATTAATTTAAAAAAGGAATTTTTTTTCCAAAGAATTGGGGAATTCTTGTTGCATGTTTTTTTTGTTAGAATAACTCTATGTGCTCAACACAAAGACAAAAAGGCATTTTGAAATTGTAAACTTTATTCCATGCCACTATGAAAGGCAAAGGAGGGTTTCTTTTTCTAGAATAAGACACCTTCTTATAAGTATCCAAGGTTATAAAATATTGTCAAACATGCCTACTTGGAAGTGCAAAAGTGATTCAGAATCCATTTGAAACCCACAGTAGTGTTAGTGACCATCAAGTACTTGTAGTAAACAAACTGCACATGAGATAAGAAAATAATGCCATTTATGTTTTTCTATAATTAATGGGAATATATTAAACAATATTTTAGTAAAATGTAATTTACATGCATCTCTCTTTTGGGTTTAGTTAATATTAGGAGTTTCATTAATCTTTGAGTATATGGCATTCTTTTCAACCTCATCAAAAACTTAATTGCATCTCTCTCTCCCTAGCGTATTTAAATTAAAATTTTTGCCGTTTAGAATATTACTTTATTATTGGGGCCCACTCAGTGGTTAAAGAAAAGGAAGCCCATAAGAATATTTGAAAAATTTTAAATCCAGGCCCATGCAGAAGTAAAAAGCCCAATAAAAATTTCATTTGGCCCATGCAGGTCTCGAACCTGCGACCTTCGCGTTATTAGCACGACGCTCTAACCAACTGAGCTAATAGGCCTTTGATTATTTTATTGAAAATTTATCATGTTTAGATTAAACGCTATGATATGGATAAGGCTGTGCTTCCTCATAAGAATGATTTGTTGAAGCAAACCTACAGCGCATCTAAAAGAGGAGGAGATGAACAATATAACTGCAAGTGAAATAGCAGGACTTGGGGTTGGTACTTTACTCCTATGTTGCGCCATTGCCGCCCCAAAAATTGACTCTTTCATCTCTGCTTCACAGAGAAGGTAAAAAAGTTACCAAATTGGAACAATATCTCACAAATTCCCCTTTTTATTTTCTTTGCCTCCCTTCTTCTTTCTGGGTTATTGTATAATTTGTTACGGACAGGTTGTTTTCTACTTTTGTATAGGTTCCTATTTTCATAATTGGATTTAGTTATTCCTATCCTTTTCTATCATGTTTTGCCAATATGAAATTTGCAGGTAGGAACAAGAAAGAACTTTTGAATGCAATGATTCATTGTAATTGGAAATTCTATGAATTTTTGCTTGTCTTTAATCATTTTATGATACTCAATTTAGTGTTGGAACTATGAATAGAGGAAAAATATTAGATTAGGGAATCATTTAGAAGGAATAGTGATTAATTAGTGTCAATTGCCAAAATAATATTTTGTAGCCCTGGAATTCATTTTTGTGAAAATGAAGCTAAAGGGTAAAAAATATAATGACTTGAGGGGGTCACTGAGCCTTTACATTTAACTTATGTTATGTGACATGTCTTTCTTGCATGTGGAGCTGTGAAAAGGAAAATTTCGCCGTTGAAGGAATTACAAATCTTTATGAGGAGAATTGACTCTCATCATCTGGAGATATTGGAATCTGTTCTTTTTCTTTTATTCTATTTTTATTTTGCTATTCTCTGCTAAGGTGTTATCTGGGGTCATTCTGGCATTGCAGTAAGTCCATCTCGCTTGTCTAATCATCCACTTCACTATTAGAGGATTCACAGACACAGAAAATAAATCTAGCTCTAGGAATCAAAGAAAAGAAAGAATGTTAATATTGTGGATAAAATTCTGCATTACTCTCTGCTGGAATTGTGTTGTCTACTCTAAATTGATTAGTGAACGACATTAACTTGCAGTTTTGACTAATGCAACCATGTTTAGTTTTCAAATTCCTTTTTTTTTTTTTTTTTTTCCAATTTTGAGTTCAACTTAAGTTCTAGTAAGTACTTTTATCCATCCCAATTAATTGGTTTTGCATTTATAGCATAATTGATCTGGTTCTAATAAGCACAATATTGATTTTTTCATTATTTGATTCTGCATTAGCAGCACTGTAAAAAATGAATACTAAATTTTGCATTCTTTGTGCTGTGCCAATATGATTTTAGTAATTACATATGATTCAATGTAATTATATTTTGAAATGGTGCATGTTCAACTGTTTGAATTTCCAGCTCTCTGGGGATGTGCAAGAAATGCGGTGATCTGAGAATGATAGCATGCTCAAATTGTAAAGGAATGGGATTGATCAAAGAAAGAGGACCATTAAGTTTCAACTTGATTGATGACTTGTATCAGTCAATTGGTGGAGAATCAAAGGTGAAAACCTTCAAATGTAGTAAATGCCAAGCTACAGGTCGTTTCTGCTGCCCGGATTGCTCTAAAGTACCATCAGTGAAATTGTAATTATATGCACATCTCTTAACCAGATGTTGTGTTGTCCTTATTCCAGAACTTAACTGGTTGTATTCAAACCATAGATATCGTTTTCTGAATGATAATTTTTCTTTATCTGGTGGAAAATGTCATAATTTTTCTGACTAGTGATTGTCCAAAGAACAAGTCTTTCTACTAAGAATCATAAAAAAAAAAGTTGGTAAAGAAGGTTGGATGTCAGTTACATGCCCTTATTGTAGGAATCCTTGGTCATGTAGCTAGTTTTAGCTCGACAGCCATAGCACCTTGGAACTTTATGGTTGGTGGTAGATAGGAAGGTTAGGACTTGTATGGCATCTATCTTGGTAATGAGCACATATTCAATTTTTCTTTTGGAAAGACAAACTAAATGAGCTTTCAAATCCGTCTTAATTCAAGCACATATTTTGTAATAAAGAATGGTTACACATAAAATCCCCACATATACGTATTCTATGGTTCAAAGGTCTTTTTTAGGCCTTGGCTTGCTTCAGGTGTTTACCTGTTGACTACCTTTTGTCATGATTATCTTTCATTAGGGAATTTTATATTGTGTTTATGAAGAGTGAAGGGTTGAATCTCCTCCATCAAAATGTTTATCACCAACTGGGTGAATACTAAAAAAAATATGAGGTAAAGGGCCTGACGGGAGAGTTTACTTTGTGGGTATTCGGATTTATAATCTAAGCCATGATGATCAATTCCGCAGATATTCCTTGCATTGAGTTGTTTCCCTTTGGATTAAATTGAAGAAAGGTTTATATTATTAAAGCTTAAATTAGCAAATATGGTATTTAAATAAATAGAAAAAGAAGAAAAATTACTATTATTTTATAGTTGTTCTCAATTTCCATCTACCAAATAAAATTTATTTAGCCCCAAATCCTTGTGATTAAATATTTGGATTTCATATCATATTATTTTTTTTTTAAAAAAAAACAAGTTATAAATGAAACACAAATACAAAACGTTAATCATTTCAAATTATTTTCTACTAAAACTATAAAATTTAAAGATATGCTAAGCATTAGGAAAGTGTGCTCTGGTTGGAGGCACTTATTTCCTCTCTTGTTGCCTAGCATCTAAGAGTATCTCCCGTGTAACTATGGATTGTGGCTGATGTATTTTAATAAATAAAAATTTTGGATAGTGATTTGACTGAATATGTAATTGTAGATATTAGATTTTAAAAATAGTTCTCCAATGCACCAAGAAGTAATCAGTTTCAGGGCAAGAAGAAATTTCAGAGCAAATAAAGGAGAAGAGATAAAAGACAATAAAAAAATAAGAAAAAAAATGAATAAATAAGAAAAAATAAAAAGGTGAATCATGCTATTTAATAGACTCTTTGAAAGTAGAGAATATAATAAATAATGTCTCTTTTTCTTTCTTATACATCAGACTCACAAACTAAGCAGATAATGGCGTTGGGAAAATTTTTTATTATTTTTAACTTTTAATTTTTCAAATGTGACAAATAAATAAACGTAATCAACATTTATATCGGAGATGTTTGTTGAAACACTCGTTGGTGATAGAAAATACACCTGGGATTTAATAATACTCACCCTCCTTCAACTCTTTAATTTGTAGTAATTTTTATTTTTTAAATACCATAATATTTTATGAAAGAACAAAATTTATATTTACATTTTTCGCCTCCCTCCCTTGACGTCTGCTTAAATTAACACGCGTTGATTTTAGGCCCATGTGACCACATTTGACTATTTCTTTTCTTTTCTTTTAAGAAGAAACACTTTGACTAAATTAACCAATGTGATTCTCGTTTATTGGTTAGTAGCAACCCATTGCCTGCCACTACTTTGTGGAATGTGGAATAACAACGACATCTATATCATCATTCCTTTCTTTTTTTTACCATGTCCATAATTTATAGGTACTCAACTCGCTCCGAATTGATTGATCAATCCAAAACGCGGACGAGTTAGACTGAAAACATGCATTGGAATATCTTTCAACCATTTAAAAAATATAACAAATATAAATTGATTGAATTATGATTTAACCGATTCAAGTTGATTGAATTTTTAATATAGTCAATTTAATTCTTTGATTGTTATAATTATTTAATTAATATATATTATTAATAATTTTATGACTAATTCATCAAATTACTGATTTGTAGATAAACTATTAATCTATTTGTTCGCTTCATTTGTTAGGCAGTGTCCGACCAACTTTAATAATACTTATATATAAAACTAAAATAATATAAAGATAATATTTGGATTAAGGATTCTTACATTTTATGACATTTTTTAAATTTTATTGTGATTTTATAAATTTATAATTGTAGTGTCACATTGTTATTCTACAAGGTGATAAAATAACTTTGATAAAAAATATCTTAAAGCTAAAATATATTTTTGAAATCTCTTACTTAGATATATTTTTAAAAATTACTAAAATATAACTCCAATTCGAATTTACCTTTGCCATTATATTTTCTTTTTCTTTTCTTTTGCAATGTGTTTGAATTGGATAAGAAAAAATAAAAAGGAAATAAAATAAAAAATTTTAAAAAATTCCTTGTATTTGAGTTTAGAAGGATAATAAAATTATTTCTCTTCATTAATATATTATTATAATTTTTATATTCTCTTTCTGATTTAAAAGAAAAATTTTCAAGACAATATTTTTTTCTTATTTTCTATTCTTTATTATCATTGTTTCGATTTCAATGTCAAATCATTCAGTGAAACAAATACCCACAAACGGCACAATCAAAGGGTAAATAAGTAAATTAGAGACCAAAATGACGCACCCCAATTATTGTACAGTGGCTTTTATAAGCACGCGTCCGACAACCGTCAAGCAACCGGGTACATCACTTGACGTCCATGCTTCCGTTTTCTTATTCTGACACGTGTACCTTTCCAGGGCAGGTTACTGTTCAGATTCTACACCGTAACCGAGTGTACGGTCGCTGACTCGCTGGCCTATCCGCCCACTTCACCTGGCACTGTTTATAGTTGCCAGTAAAACTGCGACACGTTTTACTTGCTGGTCTTCTATTTGACAGCTGTCAGTTTTGCCAACTTGGACCAGTTAAAAGATACTGTTCTGGGAAAGGTGCACTGTTCACAATAAGTTAATTAATTATGACCCGAACTCTCTTCATAAGTTTTAAGCCTTAATTATGATTCTGACGCGTGTTAATTAAGGATTTTCTTTTTTCGTTTTCTTCTTTTTAACTGTCAATTTTCTTTCCCTATAAAGCTCAAATTATCTTTTCTCACCTTAATAATAATAATAATAATATAATTATTATTATTATTCTTTACTGTATAGCTAATCACATTGTTTTTTCATCCATTTAACCTCTTGTGAATTAAAAGACAAAAAAATCCCTCAAGATTTTCAACTAACTATAGTCAATACAAATAGGACCAGCAGTGATTTTAATTTCACAGATTTTTAAAACAGAAAAATTGATATTGAAATTCAAATTTAGCTCACAGAGCTAATTACTTATAAATGCAAAGTTTAAAAAAGTGGTTACGTTAGTTTGCAATTCTAAGTTGATGCAAAAAATTTAAAAGCATAAGTACTGTTTACAGGTGTCAACAACTATATATATTATCCTTGTCCTTTTGAACATCTTCTTTTTTCTGGTCTAAAATGGTTATTCTTATCTACCTTTATACGTAGAACTTGATAGCATTTTATTGCATCAAACTGCAAGAACCTGCTTCTGAACAATATCCATTTACAAATGTTTTCAAACTTATGTTTTCTTTTTCTTAGAAATGATTCCACCCACCTCTACAAATTAGCACATATATACAACTATCTATTCTCTTTATTAGGTTAAACTGATTCAATGATGAAGCATGAGGGTTGGGCACAGCCAGTGATGAAGCCGAGAATTAAAATTGGAAGCTAAAAAAAAAAATGCAAGTGTTAAGAAAGGCGAAATTGAAAAAATTAACTATTTTAGAAGGTAAAATAAAAAGTTTCAATATTTTATAGCTGATTCTTTTTTTTTTTTTTAAAAAAACCCTTTTATTAGAAGTAGCTCCGTCGTCAATGGGCACAATTTTAAAAAAACAGACCAAATCATTCAAGTGGACTTAAACTCGATTTAATTCTATATACTAATAAATTCAATTTGAATTTTGTCATAGTAATTTTAATTTATTTAGTTTGTACTAATTCGATTAGTTTGAACTGAATCAACCAGATGTTCACCGCTGTTATCCAAGTTTTTTTTTTCTTAAAGAATTGTTTATATCATTTTGGAAATAAAGAAAAAAATATTAATTGGCCTTTGCTTTTCGTAATAAAAATGTTTTTTGGGAATATGGTACTATAGACATATATAGTTGACAAATTAGCCAAACCAATGAAATTAAACTAACCATCCACTGGCAGGACCACTTGTTCATGAATAGGTTGCCCAATTTGGGAATGAATTATTCCATAATGCAAGTTGACCAAACTACCCATGCCTATATGTAAATGTTTTGTCTTATAAATAAAGCAAAAACACTCCTTCAACCCTTATTTCCTTACCCTTCACCTAAGAACAGTGCTATTTATGGTTCCAAACAGAAAAAAATAATCCTAAGCATTTTCTTTATATAGTGGCTACAGTGGATTAATGTAAGTGGTAGCTATACATGTATATATTACAAGTTAAAGTTAAATGTGCCAACCAAATTATGCCTTTATCCTTAACATTGTGGACTATGATTGGAAGGTTAAGTTTCAATTTTTCTTTTTTGAACATAACAAAACCCTTATATTTTTAAGGGCTTCCAGATGATATTTTACCTCAACTATTTCATGATTCTTGTGAAATAGCTTGTTTTAGATGGTGCAATAATTACTTCACTTCTGTTTTTTCCTTTTCCTTCTGTACTAAAAAAGTTTTAAAATATAAATTAGATGTGGTCTAATCTGATTGGTATTATCACTTATGCGAGGAGAAAGAGACTTTTAGTTTGATTTCTATCAACCACATGAATTTTCATCAATTTAGCGAATCAAAGAGAGGACTACTCTAATCTATAATTTTTAGTTTATCTCGGCTCATTTAGCCTCCCAATGAATAAAAATATGCACATTGCCCGAGGAAGCCTTATGACTGCAGCTAAGTGACCTTATCTACAGCCTCTGTCCAAGCCAGGGACCAAAGCAATTTTGGAATAGCTTTACTTAAACTGGTTTATAGCTTCACCTGTGAACCAAATCAATAAAAATATGAAGTTTTATCAAAATGATAATATTTTTTACCATACATGAAAAAAAAAAGTAGGATTAAATTTTAAGAAATTTTTATTCTCATCAGTTTGGTCTATAGGTAGGGCCATAAACTAGGTCTAGACAAGTATTTTCTGAAAAATTTTAATATATAGTTTGGTCTAGGTATAAATAAATGACACTAAAAACTATGGTAATTAAACACAATTAGAATTTTCATTACATGAAAATACTCCTAAATGGGTTATTATGAATCGATCCGTAGTAGGCAAGTTGATTTTTCATTTGGTATCACTTAACTACTTCTTGCCCATTCTTGGCAGCCATACCCATTATGGTATAGAATTCTTGGTGAATGAAAAACAACTCTCTCCAACTAAGACTCATGGTGAAGAAAAAACCTCTTAATAATCAAAACAATTAATGTTGCTTGTCGTACTAATCCCTATTTTTGTTTCCATTTAGCTTATAAGTCAAATGCCGAGTTGCTTAAGACAGCTAATTAGAAGATTAAGGAAATAAAATCATTAATTAGCTAGCTTTGTCCAAAGCCATACATATATATATGATATCAACAGGTGGGGCCATGTATGCATGTATTATCAGAATCAACAATTCTAGCTAGCACATGATATATGTACTACAATAGGAACATTAACAAGACAACGCTTTGTGAATGGTCTTGTTAATTTGATGGTTGAAGGATCTTACCTTATACTTTCTACATAGATCATATCAAATGTCTGTTTAGAAAATTTGACTTCTACTGCTTACGATGACAACCTCTACTGTTTATGATAGTGATTCTTATCTTTTTTAATCTAAACGCCATATCTAATCTTTTTTTTTTTTTATTATTATTATTCTTATATAATGTTTGATGCATTCTTGGTAAATGACTAATCCAAAATCGACTTTTCTTCTATATCAGAGGTATTCGGCAACAACTTTTTAAGTAGTTTTTAAACTTTTTTTTTTATAGTATTCAATAACATAGCGTTCAATAACATAGCATTCAATAACATAGCGTTTAAATTAGTATTTAGAGATTAGAGTAGCGTCTTATAGAAAGTTAAACCATATAATATTTAACTTTTAGCGTCGCAGAACATGCTCTAGATTTTGGACCTATAACTTTATAAATAAAGTTTATTAGAGAATGTAGCCCACTTCAATTGATAGATATATAACCATTTGTCTGTGTTTTTAATATAATATTAATTAGATATAATAAACTTTTTAGTTTAAATAGTGTTTATCTGAATTAAAAACAAAATGGATTTAATACAATTCATATGTGAAGATTCATGAATCATGATAATGCTTGACTAAAAAGAAAGAAAATGACTTTCCTTTAATAAAAATGGGATATTTTCATAGAACGAAATGGTGACAGATACATAGAAGGGTGATTCCAAAAAGAATGGCCTAGATTTATAAGGTCGTTTAGGGTGATTCCAAGACAGAATTATTAATGAATAAAACCTAATTCTCATCTTCAAAAAGGATTAATTATCTTAAGGTATATGGTCTAGGACAGACATATGGAGATGTCAGTTAATTAATTCAAAGGATATATTCTAATCAACTAACTGATATGTTTGCTTGATTGGAAACAAATTGCACATAAGCATATTAGAGAGAGACTCAACGCAACCGCACATTTAGAATATTAGAAATTTTTTTTTTTCTTTTTTACCAGTTTGTGATAAGAGAAAAAGATAGTTTTCACTCAATGTCGTTAAAGACGGGACATGTACACTTTCAGTTAGTAGCTTTGTCTCGCAATGTAGAAAATTTTTTAAAATAAAAATAATATAACATGATATACCACACAATAGAGATAATTCCCGTTGACTCATAGAATTAGTGAAAACTCTTGTTGTCCAGAGGACTCGTAACTTAAAGTTTTTCTCTTCTCATCTTATTTAACGAAAAGACCGATCAGACTGCATTTGATAGACTTATAAAATGTTATATTTAACTTTATAAACTTAAATTCTAAAAATTTAAATTTGTGATTAATGTATCTCATGTATGACCAGAGAATTAAACAGCCACTCGATCAAAGTATATAACATGTGTTTACTTTATTATCATCTAGGAATAGAACTAACATTGAACTTTCCTTTTGCTTTTGATGTCTAGCTTTTGGATTGTTGCTTTTTGTCCAATTCAATTTTCATCTTTGTGAATCACATCATCTGCTTAATTTCTTTGATACCAACTTTTTAATTAGTCTATACTTCAATTCCAATTTTGAAAGGTATCTATTTAAGCATTATTCACTTAATAAAAGAGTGTTCAGATTCCTTAATTAAGCTTTTACCCTAACAAATTAATCTCGCTTTCGACAGCCAATTCCTGCGAGGATATCATTAATTAATTTGGTATTAATTGCAATTTTCCATAAGAAAGATAGTGCAATTTATTTATGTCTGCATATAATAATAAGATATATTTGTTGTTTTTTTTTTTTGTAAACCACGGTGTTTTTTTTATATATATTTAAATTATTGTGAAAAAAAAATATGGAAAAAAAAAAACAGAATACCTAAAGATTAAATCAAATTACCACGATTTAATACTTAAAATTATAAAGACAAGGTTGTTTCTATGCAAGTCTTGATCACGAGTAATTTACATGAAAAATCCATGTAAGTTATTTTATAAATAGTCTATAACAATTTCAAAGTTCCAAATGTTGAATCAATCCATTGTTGAATCGACACGTGTCAATCCATTTTAAGGTTGGTGACGACGTTCTGCTACTTCTAAAGACAACTAGATATATGAGGTGAAAAATTCATTTATTCATTAATAACTACAAATCATAACAACTCTCACTTCCAAGATCGTAAAGAACACTTGTCATTACAAAGCGACATATGCAATCATGGAGCGCGTGTCAAACATTGCTCTTGAAAAGCAAGTGTAGATTCATGGTTAGAAATGAACAGTAATAATACAACTGAGGGTTACATGGAACTAGAAAGAAAAACCAACCCTAGCTAGCTGCAATTCACTTCTAGTGTTAGATTGAAACCTGAGGTTAAAAAATTGAAAGACTAAAGTGAAAAAAGGAAGAGAACCCAAATCCACAAACTTCTTTCTCTCTCTAGGGTTTCTTCAAAGTATCCATCTTTCTCATATTTTTCACATTTTTGGTTAACATTTGAGCTCTGACTTATAAAAGAGAGATCATCTTGTTTCTAAGAGAAGAAGAAGGAGAGAACACAATATCTCACACATAAAGATATAATCTTTATAAAGAAACACATATATATAATATAAATATTCTTATAGAAATAAAGAAGAGAGAGGTTTAATTTGGTTTTGTGGATTATAATTAGATATAGGGATATGGGGAGAGGGAGAGTGGAGTTGAAGAGGATAGAGAACAAGATAAACAGGCAGGTGACATTTGCAAAGAGGAGAAATGGGTTGTTGAAGAAAGCCTATGAGCTTTCAGTGCTTTGTGATGCTGAGGTTGCCCTTATCATCTTTTCTAACCGTGGCAAGCTCTATGAGTTCAGCAGCATCTCTAAGTATGACCTTTTGTCCTCTTTTTCTCTTTCTATAATTATATTTGTGTGTATATGGATTTTATCTATGAATTATATGTGTGGGATCTGTTTGCTTACTCTTGTTTCTTGGCTTGTGCTTTTTATGAGCTTTAGATTTTCCTGAACTCTTTATCTGTCTCATAAATATTTATTTTTTATTTTTTATGATGTTATTCAAATAATAAATTTTCGACTTTTAATAAGGTTGAGAATTTAATTTGTTATCTTTCATGAATTCTGTCCTTCTTTCCTATTTTTCTGTTGTCCGTTAATGTTGTGATCTATGGAATATCAAATTAGGATTTTTGCTTGATCTGCTATGCTTGATTATTGCTCCATGAGATCTGAATTAAAGTTTTTTGGTTTGTTCATTTGGAGATCTTTAGCTATGTTTTCATTAAGCTATAGGATGTTATGCTCGATTATTTATTTATGTGAAATCCATCTGCAGTAATTAGCTGACAATTTTCATCTAAATGACAGGAGTTTATATTTCTTTGCTCAAAAAAATTTCATCTTTGATTTTCTTCTGTAGTTTCTTTTGCCTACGCTGGAGGAAAGAATGCTTTCTGAGTTGATTTTCGACTTTCCTTTATCTTCTCCCTTCTCTCTGTGGAAAAGTTGGTTTAGTTTAGTAGATTATCTTGAGAACATGTAGTACCCATGAGTCATTTTTTATTTTTGCGGGAAAAAGACAGTGCTTGAGGGAGATGGAGATCCAGACTGTATAAAAGCCTGAGAACTTAGTCATATTTAATCGTTATCTGCTAGGTATAGAAAATCCTCCCTTGTTTCTGGACTGAAGTCCGTATAATCAACGTCCTTTCAATGAAGCAAATGTACTTGATGAAATTAAATAACCCTTTATCTTCTTTTATAATTCCCATACAAGAGATTAGCTAAAAGGGAGGATTTTGGATGTCTTGGTTAACTTTTTTGGGATTTGTTACAAGTATATTATATTAATTTTTTTTCATTAATTTCCATCCTCTCAAGTGGGAGTATAATATTTCATGTTTCTTTTGCATGCATTATAGCTTCTTGATAGAAAGGACATGCATTATATTAGAATCTCATCTTTCTTTCTGATTTCTTTCCTTCGTTAACTTTACCTGTGTTTATAGGACTTTCAGTTTTACATGAGATGCTTGTTAACAATAAACAATGTTCAGGTTAAGTTTTTCCTGTTTGCTTATGACTGATTGTTCCAGTATTTTCTTATTGTTTATGAATGATCGATTGCTTGGTTGAGCATTTTGATTTAATAAAATATTACGCTAGCATATGAGGGGCATTCTTATACATTTTGTTTGGTGTCACTGGGTTTGTAATCTGATTGTTGAGTGTCTATCTCTTATATACTAAAATGGATGTTTAAATTTTGCCAAACTCCTCTCCTTAACATTCTTGTTTATTAGTACCATATTCTTCTTATGATAGCCTTCACATTCTCTCAATTGCACCTTAGTGAAATTGACAAAATGATAATCCTTTCCACCCATATGGGAATTCAAATTTAGAATTTTTTTTCAACCCTCACATCGACTTGAAACCCTAAATCATTGAACCAACTGTTAGGTACAGTACCTAATTCTGTGGTTTATGTCATGACATTTCCTAAAATGGGCTTATGCATTGTTTTACTCCTACTAAGCTAACTTGTGCATTTGATTTAAGAATAGGAACTGTGTTACCCTTTTTTTCTTTTTTGGATTAGCCAGAAAAATAAGAATTTTATTGAGAAGTATAAGAAAACTTAGAAAAAAAAATTGTATCCCAAAACAGTCACCAAAAGCCTTGAGCCCCATAATGCTACTCATAAACAATCCACTTAGCAAGCTATTTCTAGAATTGAAATGCATGCATAAGTGCAAGCATGAATAGGAATTAAACTAATCGTTGGCAATGCCTGCTTTATTTGCCTCTCGGGTTTACAAGCCATATCTTTTCTTGCCTGTTTCCACTCTTATTTTTTTGGCATTGAGAGATGTGAACTATTTTTAGTTTCCCTCCAATCACACAGCCTTAGTATTGCAGCTATTAAAATTTCCCACGTGAAAATCTTTTAAGATAGCCATCTTTCTGCTAATTAGTGCTCCTGTAAGCATGGCAGAAGTTGATGTGTATGACAAAGAAGCAATCTTTCTAACTTTTGGCTAACATTTCTCCAAAAAATTAATAATCTTCCTAAAATGATCTTTATCAGTAGTAGATAGGTTTGGAAGATAAGCTGCAGAGAGAGAGAGGGGGGGAAGAAAAGGGAAACAGTAGTACCCCCGAAACCCTAGAATTACAGTGTCGTGTTGAAGTTGGATGAATCCAGAGGGATAAAAGAATATACAGTAATAAGTAAATAAATAAAGAGGGAAAGCTAGCTTACTGTTTGTTGGGTCCTGGGCTGTGAAGAAATAGTCAGTCCAATACTGAAGGAGATCCAACGCGATGGCTTATAGACATTGCAAAAAAATCGCCAATTGTAAGTTTTCTTTACCACATCATAATGAACTGGATAATTAACTATTTAACTCATGGAGTTTTAGTAGAAATCACAATCATATTTTTATGTTTGGCAAAATCAGTGATTAGGTCCTAAATTTTAGCACTCTGAAACTATTTAGCCTTTCTATCCCAAAATGTTTTTCTTTTTTTTTTTTTATTTTGTAATACTTTTTTATTCATTAAGAGTCTGACGGGCTCAAAAAATATCATAGGCCACACAGTAGGATAACCCTCCTATTTACCGAAAGATCTCGGATTTAGAATCTCCACCCTCACATAAATAAGAAGATTAACTAAACAGTTGATTGACTTTATCATATAATATTTAACCATTTATCTTTTCACATTTAACGTAGTCTTACTTATTTAGTCCTTACATTTTCAAATGAATATAGTTTAACGAGTCTAAATTTTAAAGATAAAAATTAAATGATTTTGCAAAACAGTAGGGATATAATAGTAACTTTGAATAAACCTTAAGGTACCCTAATAACTTTTAAGAGTATGGTTTGGATTCCCATCTTTATGTAGCTTTGCCCTTCACTCTTAGTCATACTAGTTTATTAGATAATAAACTCCCAGTTAATCTGCCATTACTCGTAGACAAATTATGTATACAAAAAAAAAAAAAAAAAAAAATAATTAAAGCACTCTCCTTTTAAAAACTCTCACCAAATTGATAGGAGGCCAAGTAAAATTTGTGATTTGATAATATTACATTCTCACTGATTCTATCAAAGTTTGTACTTTTATTCTTCCCATTTCTTCAGAAAGTTCCCTTATGTATTTTAATTTAAAAATAGGATTATGAGTGTGTCCTTCCATTACCTTCACATCATGGAAAACTTCTTATCTTTGGTTTTTATTGTGCTTATGACTCTAATTTCAGGAGTTTAAACCCAGTTATTTACAAATCCCAACACTATTCTTCAATTAAGCATTTTTATTGGGTAGACAGAAACTAAAAACATAATTTTGGAGGTTCACACTGTTGATCAAAGGCATTTGATTCTTATTTTAAATAACATGCCATCAAATAGTAACTAGAATTGGATTTCCAGCTGCTCTCTGTTTGTTCATTGGCTATGGAAACTTAAGAATGATTTCAAACGTTAAGATATTAGGTCCAAGAACATTTACTATCTTCCAAAGAGAGTGGGGATGAGAAGCTCTGCTTGTGGCATGTAATTCAGTAATTTACTAATTCTATATTTGACAATGATTCTGTTTTCAATATTTCGTTGCTATTTTTATTGCAACCTTGTATTCTTCCTATCTAAATACTAATTTTGCTTCTTCTGTGGATGTGATTTTGATAATTTCCCATGCCAAATTGCCATTATATTGTCTAAAATTTCTTTTGAGCACTGGTCAACTAAAATATCTTGATAATTTTTTTTTTTTTTTTTTTTTATTTTTTTGTCTCTCTGTGCTGTTTCATCAGCATGTCAGACGCTGGAAGTAACAAAAAGTGCAGCTATGTGCTGTTGGAATTTTTTTTTTTTTTTTTGTCTCTCTGTGTGTTTATCAGCATGCTCAAGACGCTGGAAAGGTACCAAAAGTGCAGCTATGGTGCTGTGGAAGTCAACAAACCTGCCAAAGAGCTTGAGGTATCTAATATTTTGTGTCAAGGAATGAAAATGAAAATGGAAATGGAATCAATGTCATTGTTAACAGTATATAAATAGAGGTTCAGCATTTAAAATCCTATTTATTTTTCGGTGGTTGTGCTTTAAAGTTTTGGTTTGTTGTAAGCAGAGCAGCTACCGGGAGTACCTGAAACTGAAAGGTAGATTTGAGTCCCTGCAACGAACTCAGAGGTAGAAGACCTAAATAACTGGCATCTTTTATTGCATTTGCTATACAATTGAGCCTCAAATGAAAAGCAAGTTGATGTGTTAGGACAAAATTTGGGGCAATTTCTTGCTCAGTTGTAAAATTTTATGATTGCTGCTTCATAATCTAGTTTTGGAAAATTCTTTTAACACCTTTTCCTTGGTGTTGCAGGAACCTTCTTGGAGAGGACCTTGGCCCTCTCAATACCAAGGAGCTTGAGCAGCTAGAGCGTCAGTTAGAGTCATCACTGAAGCAAGTTCGGTCCACTAGGGTAACCATTATGTTACATATGTTTGCACTTAGAATAATTAGAATCCATTACTTCACTTGCTAGCTCTAAACAATGTGGATGAAACTTTCTTTTGTGTCAATGGAGAATTTATTAACATTCTGTGATGTTAAAAGTCAGGGGAAGCATATAGTCTTTTATGAATCAATATTGGAACTTGGAAGAAGGGTAAGAGAAGATTGATATAACGGAAGCGCTTGTTCTAATAACAAACTGATGCTTCTCCAATTTATTTATTCTGTTATATATAACTTTCTATATGTGTATGCCTTTGTCTATCAATTTTTGGACAAACCTATTCTGGTTTTCATAGTATTTTTCAAGTGATAATTTATTTTTTAGAAGAGATTATTGTACCTCTTCAGGTTATTTGATATTGTTGATCTAAACTGCTTTTTGCAGACCCAATACATGCTTGACCAACTTTCTGATCTTCAAAACAAGGTATATGCAAATGGAATTAATCATATCATAATTCACTTTTATTATGTTTCTTCCAATGCTAACTGACTACTGTTTTGTATACAGGAACAATTGTTGCTGGAAGCTAACAGAGCTTTGACAATTAAGGTAATACTTAACCTGCATAGTTCAAATCGAATGACATTATTATAAAAAGTTAGGCTTGTTACATGGTTATGGTTGGCTCCAACAATTAATAGAGCAGTCTATTTTCTGCTTCCAAAACGCGATTAAGTCCTTGCATCTCTTATGCTTGTTAATCAGAAAAAAATGGATCATACATTTCCCTTTAGCCATAATAATGAATCTCTTATTCTTGTTACTTGGTTTTGGTTGGCTCCAGGAATTAACAGCGCAATCTGTTTTCTGTATAGTTTCTGCTTCCAAAATTCAATTAACTTCCATCTCTTATGCATGTTAATCAGAAAGATTTGGATCTTCCATTTCCCTTTAGCCATAATAATGAATTTCTCATATAGGCTTCTCTGATTACTAAAGCAAAAAGTTGTGCAGCCTTTCATGGATGCTTCCAATTAACTATGTTGAAAATTGTAAAGATAAAAATGACAAACTTCTATACGTAATAAAACTTGAGCATCCAATTTTTAAGACACTTCTACTTGTCACATACCTTATTCCGTTCTTATCTGACACAACATTGCACCTATGCTTGAAATTATTTATGCTGGTATGGCAGCTGGATGAGATCAGTGCAAGAAATAGTCTCCGATCATCATGGGAAGGAGGTGAGCAAAGTATGTCATATGGGCAGCAGCATCCTCAATCTCAGGAGTTGTTTCAGCCACTAGAATGCAATCCCACATTGCAAATAGGGTAAACCTCCATCTCCTTCAAATCTATAAAAATCAGTCAATTACATCCCTTTTCACACTATCATGGTTAGACTGCTACAATGTCAAACATTGAAACATGTAAACTCCTTTGGAATATAATAAGTTCACCTTCCTAATTCTTTCTTCCTATTAATATTTGAAACAGGTACAACCCTGTAGGTTCAGACCAGATGACAGCCACAACTCATGCCCAGCAAGTTAGTGGGTTTATCCCAGGATGGATGCTTTGATTTTTATGTGCTTCTATGCTTTTGTTGGCTCATAAGAATTGCCTATATATGCTTTTGCTTCTCTGAGTTTGGCAATATGTAAATGATTTCAAGAGCATATGTATTTTCATATGAACATAAAGAGGAAAAAAAACCATCAGTGGCTGAATTTCAGAGAACTATGGAACCTTTAGCCATGGACAAAAAGGCATGTAACTTCATAAATGTTGCAAAAAACCATGACTTAATTATCTCTATTCTTCTGCTAAATTTGTGTTTGATAACGTGCAGATGAGTTAGCTTTCTTGCTTTTATGATCTTTTACTTCCCTTCCCAGTGAAAAAATCTCAAGTCCTTACTGTTAGATTATCCCTTTAGGACTGACTAGTTTGGCATATTATCAGATTTTTGATGAAAATTTAGGAATTAATTCTCTCAAGCTAATGAATTATAGGTCTTTTCTTGCCATATTATTTTTATGAGCTTAAAGGTGATTTTGGAAAATATTTTATATTCATACTTGAAATTTGTTTAAAATATCAATTTTAGGTTCACTAAAAAAATGCCAAATAGAGGCAGGAATTTAGCTAAGGGAACCCTTTTGAAAAATAAAAGTATATATCACCATTAAAATAAATATATAAAAATAAAATTTGAAACAAAGTTACAATATATTTTTTAATTATCCAGTTTTAATATTAAAAAATAAGAAACAAGTTTTATATACACAATATATATACATATCTTCTAAATATTATATGAATTCATTGACTTAACTTACTCAAATCAATGAAACTTATGTTTCACTATTGATTTATCAAAATATTTTAAGAATTAAAATGTGTTAAAATTGAAAAGATCTCCAAATGTAATCGATTTTTTATAAGAACAAATATAAAATCATTTAAATATTGGGGGACTAAATTTCTAAAATTCACATATTATTAAAAATGATTTCGATTTATTTAATCAAAAATTATTATTTGAAATTATTATTATTACTAAAAAAATTAAAATAATGAAACTTTTTTATTATAATTTTTTTAAAAAAATTATTGAAAGAAAAAAAAATACAAAACCGAACATAATCAAAATATCACAATCACTTTCCTTATAATAAATTTTGAATGGAGAAAAAACTTAAAAAGGTTGCCAGAGACGGCCCATAGGCCTCTAAGACAAGGAGAGATAATCCACGCTCCAAAATGAAATGGGTTTCAAATGGGTCAGGCTTGGGCTTCTTGCCTTCCATTAGCATCTCTTATAAAAATGACCCAAATTCATGCTTACAAATATCTTTTTTTTTTTTTTTTAATGGGTCAGGCTTGGGCTTCTTAAGCCTTCCATTAGCGATCTCTTATTAAGAAATGACCAGAAATTTCATGCTTACAGAATATCCTTTTTTTTTTTTTTTTTTCTTGAAATATTGTATTGATTTCATTAGGAACGTTAGTAAGACTGATCATTGGTTCTCATAGTACACAATTTCCTATAAGCACAAACAAGTTAAAAAAAATTAAACTTATTTTTTTAAAAAAATTAAAAAACTCACATTTATAGTTATTTATTGAATTTTGGCCATTAAACTCTTAAATTTTTTATTTTTTTTTTTTTTTTTTCTTGAAATATTGTATTGATTTCATTAGAACTTAGAAGATTGATTCATGGATTCTCATAGTACACAAATTTCCATAAGCACAAACAAGTTAAAAAAATTAAACTTATTTTTTTAAAAAAATAAAAAACTCACATTTATAGTTTTAATTTATTGAATTTTGGCCATTAAACTCTTAAATTTTTATTTTCTTAAAATTAAACCTTTATTTTTAACTAAGATCTCTAGTGTGCGATAATAAAAAAAATACTAAACACGTCAAACTCCTAATTTCCCTTAATTTATTAAAATTAAATCCTTGAATTTTTTGATTGTCAGCATTAAGACCAATGAATTTTTTTTATTATTAAAATGAATTCTTTTAGTTGAGATTTTCACACGTCCCATCATTATTTACTTAAGTTTATCGTTTACTTCAATACATGAAAATTTACTTCGTATTTCTTCTTCTTAAATGTAATAATATTTTAGTCTCTTTTTAAGATTTTAATAGAAAAATTAGGAGAAAATAAATAAAATGATAAAAAAGTTTGACAGAGGTAAACTTCAGAAATTATTAATTAATATTGTTAAATTACAGGATGAGTTAATTATTTTGATTAAACCTATAGACGAATTAATTATTTTCTCAATTAACATTCTTTAGATTATTTATATCATTTTTTTTAAAAAAAAAAAAAAAAGAAGAATGTTAGAAAATGGGGCTTGATGGTGCCATTTTAATATCCAAAAAACGTGGAAAGCAACACTCCAATCACAATGCAGATCAGGGAAGAATGGTCCCACATATCCATATCTTAAAAAATAAAATAAAAAAATAAAGCGAGTGGAGCGTGAGTTTTATAAGATGTATTATTGGGTAAAATTGACCTAAAATTCCAAAGTTTCCTCACTTGGTAATGTGTACCTCTTAAAGTGATTGGATTGGATTAGCATTAAGTATAATGGAGAATAAAATAACTTCTTTTTAAAAAAATTTTTATTTTTTTATTCATTTGGCAAAGATTCCATATTTAGATAATGCTTTCAATTTTATATTCATGCCTGATTTGGACCATCGTTTTGAATTTCCCTTTGTCTCGAACCAATGCAATTTTAATTTCATTTTTCTTCTATCAATCCAAAAGAATTAAATGGAAAAACAAGAGAAAATTGCTAATCTAAAATCGAGTTTTTACCCATTAAAATTTTATTTGTCAACATTAAACTCTTTTAACTTTTTTAAAGCATATGATGGAAGCATCATTCTTATTAAGAAACTACACTTATAATAATAATAAAAAGAAGGGGAGAAAATCCAAATATGCTAATTATAGAAGCAGCAAGAATTAGCTGTGGCAAAAGGAAGCAAGAATCTTTAGGGTTAAGAATCTTTCTTTATTTTGTGCTTATTTGTTTATCTATTTTCAATAACTTTTTCACCACCTTTTCTTTTTTAAAAAAATTTCTTATATTGAATACAACTAGCCCTTGGAATATCACTTATTGTATGGTATATATGGTCCAATAGGTCTAATCTTTGAGAAATTGACATCTAAATATATATTATACATAGATGGATGAAGGGAATAAGTATTGTCTAATGCGTGTTTCATTCTTTCCCGCATGTCCATGGAATATTATAGGTGGATCCTATGTTGTATAAAAATTTATTATGTCATCCACGGAGTATATCACAGTTTTCAACGTAGACTGAACATATGAAAAGAGTTTTTGGATTCGATCCACTAAACGCATCTAGACGAAGGAGCGAAGAGCTTTAAATGTGACTAAGTTGCAAACAAATTAAGTGATCCTTGATTTATAGGGTCCGGATACCCAAAAAAAATATTGTTAATAATTCAGTTTATGCAAAGAAAATTAATCTAAGAATATAAGATCATAAATAAAACAATGAAATTTGAACTTTTTTTATTCTTTATTTTAATTTAATGTACCAAATATAAAAGTGAATTTGAAAATTAGTTCCGCGGCCAAAATAATAAAATATTTTTTCAAATATTAAATGGTAGTATCTCCTGCATTACATGCTTTTTATTATATGGAAAAATATTAGATAAAAATGCAAAATTTTTACGCTTATAGTCTTCTAAAAAGTATGAAATTTTCAAAATACATACGTTTAGGAGATATGAAGTTAATCAATAGAAGCGTAATATAAAAGAATGTGATATTATTTCAATTTTTTAAATCTCGTATTTTTAGTAGTTTTTTAATATAAAAATAGATATTCTGAAACAATTTATATTAAAACATGGTAGAAAAACTCTGAATTCCAAATAAAAATTAGGGATCTTTTATATTTTAAATAAATCTTATAAAATATTTTCTTGGTCTGCCTGAAAAATACCAACACACATTTTAATTTATTTGGTGTCTGTCTACAAGCAGTAGGTTTTGTCTTATTTCAAAGAGAAGAAGCTTAATTTTGTCTCCTTAAGCAAATTAAAATCAAATTCTATATGTTATTTATATCTATTACCAACAAATAAGTTCTTCTTTTGGTAATTTCACTCCCATATTTAGGCATCTCTATGCTGTATTGTCTCTTTTTCTTTGCCTATGATTCATATCTAAACTTTGAGAGCATCAAAAGACATGAAGGATAAAATATCATTTAAAATTTATAAAAAATAATTTCGGATTATATTTCGACACTACATAATGTCTTCCATAATCTTAATTAGATTATCAGGGCTATTAGAGTAATATCATAGGAGAAATCTCTCTCTTTTTCCGACATAATAAAAATTTGATTAGAAGTTTGGATATTCGATATATCATCGAGAAGTATGCTTATTATAGTAATAGTTTTGCTTAATATTATTATTTTTAATAAAAAAATAAAAAGTAGATATTTTTTAATTGTTATGATCCTCTCTATCTTCTCTCATGCAACACTTTTTTCTGTTTAATTCTAAATTTGGGTTTTTTGAGCATTTTTAAAATGGTCCCCATTGTCCTTTTTTTTCATTTTCATTTTTATTTTTATTCCCTCTTTAGTATTTACCTAAGTAATTAAATAGGTAGAAACGGTCCAAATTTATTGAAATGTGTAAAGATTTGTACGAGGTAATTGTAGGGAAGTATTATAGGCATAGGGGTGGTTGGGGATCATGGTCCCCAGGATTACCGGGAAATTATTATTAGAGCACGAGGTACAATATCATAGTATTAAAATCCATACGCATCAATTTTATAAATTTGCCAAAGGGACCACTTCCATCAAAATCTGAAAAATCTTGCAATCCAAATGGCAAAGATCAAACAATCCCAGTAACCAAAATAAGTACTATATATATATATATATATATAGTAGCCACGTGGTTAGGTTATTGACAGTTTTGATAATATTAATTTTTTAATATTAAATTTCAATTTCAACATTTCACTTTTTATTAAAATCATTTTCTAATATTTATATAGTTTATATAATGAAAATTAATTGAAAATAATATTACATGACACAATAAATAAAAGAAAAAGAAATGTCAGACAAAGGCTTAGAGTGCCATGTGGAAAACTATAAGAAGAATGTATCACATGTCTCTTTCTTTGGAAAATATGCTTGTATTATAGTTTAAATTGGACCAAACTATATTATGGATTCGAATCGATAATTTAGAATGATTCTGATATATTTTTTATTTTTTCCATTTTTCC